ATATCATTTGACATCAACGTTTATCATCAATCATCTACAAATAACTACTACCAATAATCTGAATTACAATCTATAATTACTGGGAAAAAAATGGATATCAAATGATATTTACAAAATGAAATTTAATCAAAAATATTTTGATAATAATCGAAAATTCATCGTCAGATAAAAAAAAAGTAACATATTAATTTGTTTTTCTTTTAATTTATTGAAATAAAAAGAGATTCATTTCATTTATTTTGTCGACTATAGATCTTTTGGCGATAAAACAGAAATGAACTAGAATATATCCACACGACAATTACATGAAAATGAAGACTCGTTTGCTGTTGTTGTTGTTATGGTGCTAGTGGCGGTGATTATTGTTGTTTAACATTGTGTTTTTATTTCTTCTTAATAACGATTTATATCAAATAAACGTACGCCAAAAAATATAGGAAATTTCGGTACAACTGCAAGAAGCATTGTAGCCAAATTAATTATAAAATGAGTCTTGTCATACTTTGTATAAAAGCTCGCAATGAAAAATCTTAAGAAAAGAAAGATCAAATATATTTCATTTTCAACATAATCATTATAGAATCAACTTACAAGACAATTGGAAGAATTTGAAGAAATTTTCTTGTACCTGTCCATTGAACACCATTATCGATTTGTTCCCAAAATGTAAAACGACGTGCTAAACCTTGATCACTTGTCTCCCATGGAGCACCTTTAATCAAGTGAAATAGATAGTAACTACCCTAAAATGAATTTATTATCAATATATATATCTATATATATACACATATGTATATATTAAACTGAAGATTAATTTAACATACGAGATTATGAATAGTTGTTGTTAATGTCCATGCAGCAGATGTTGTTATATAAGGAATACTGAGTAAAATAAAATGGAGAACAAAGACAAGAATTATATACGTAAGCCAAACGCCACGACTATTTAGCCATGAGCTGTTCGGATTTCCTTCGCCTTGCGCAATACCAACGTTCATGATTTAGTCGATCACTTCTACAATAAAAGTCTTTGTAAAGACAGCATCAATTTAAAAAAAAATTATAGCATAAAAAAAATTGAAGTCGATCAATAAGAGTTTAATCAACATTTTAATGATACAGAACTATCGAAAAGAACAAGAAATGTTTTGTGTCATATGCATAATATAGACTAATACTACTCTGAAATATCATCATTGACTTCATTAAAAAAATAAAGGCATATAAACATTATTCAAGTAAGAATGTGTATTGATATGAAGTTACCGATATAGATACTCTTCGTCATTTTTATGAATACTTTGATTTACAGTAATCAAATTCCTCAAATATTGTTTAATCAAGTTTCTAGCTAAAACATGATAGAAAAAAGAAACATATTTCCAATGGGTAGAAACTAGAAATTGCTTCAACTATATTTTATATGCTCCTAGTAAGTCTTCCAATATAAATTCATCATAACTGGAATGTTAGTATTTGTTTCCATGAGAAAATTTTTTCATTTCTTGCGATATTAGAGATAATGTGACGATTTCGCAGCTAGTGTTCTCTTCATAGTATTTTTAATATCACAAAATGAAATCTTTTTTTCCATAATGACGAATACTAAATAACATGCTACTCTATATTTACAGTAGAACACTTTCGATAGAAATAATCATGTATTTACACTTTAAACATAAGTACTCTCTCGTGATAGCCTTCGTACTCCATCAATCTTTCATAAATATGCAATCGTAGAATTTATTTTTAGCTTCATATTAGTGCCTAACAAACTTGAAATATTATTTTTGATCAACATTTGCTATGAAGAAAACGATGAATCATACACTGACAAAACATCTGCATTTGTGAAATTTGCATGAAATACGTGAAATACTACTTTCAATTTTACTACTTTTTTCAGAAAAAAAATTCTAATCAAAAACAAATTTATTTATATTTTTCAGTTGTTGATATGACCCATGAAATGACTCGTATGATTACATATTTATTAACGACCAAAATGAGTACTGTAGCTATCATTAGAAAATGCTAACATCTACTTTTGTACATGTATTATTCTTACTTGAAAAATAAAACGGTTATATTCCTTTTTGTCGAGCCAAGATTGATATTTCAAAAGAGGTATTTGTAAATATTATCCATATGAAACAAAAACCTTTAATCAAACCTCAATCACCAAGAAAAAATTGATCAAGTTGATTGAACGCATGTTGAAACATATCAATTATTCATTACACAACTTATTATTCATTCGAACAATCTAGAGAAAATAAACAATTATTGATTTTTATTTCTTTTTCTCTCTACTGATGACGTGTCTTTCATTTACAGAGTGCAAAATCAATACGTGTATGAAAGAATGACTAAAGAGTAGTACTATTAGGTAACTATAGCTATGTTTTCAAAGTGAAATCGATTAGGATGACCTTGAAATATTGACTAATAGGATTCCATTTTAAAAATATTTATTTCGTAAAACGAAAAGTTCCTTTGGTTGGAACGAACACGTTTCAGTCAGAAGAAAAACAGATACTGATTCACCTGATTCACACATGCCCCTCAATATACTTATCATTGGTTACTATTCTAATTATTTGACAAAGTTAGAGGGCGCTCATCTACGTTGAGTGATGATATTGTTCAAGTCAGATCATCGTATATACGTATATATTTATAACATATATGTTACTAACCACCACGAAAACAAATGATTATTTATCGAAATATGAATCAAACTACTTGAGAATACACCAATAAAAACTACCTGTTTTTGTTTTGTTCTCGACTTATCTACTGTACTGTATATCGTTCTATTTTGTTGTATAATATACATATAAAGCGTATAAAACTTCTTTTTGCACTGTTGAAATATGCTCTGATACGAGCCGTCTGCGCGCATACACGTATTTATTTGTGTGCTTTACTCGCTTTACTCATCCGTATCAGCGACATCAGCTGTTTCAGTGGCTTAGATTTCAAGTTTGACCAGTTTAGTAAAGAGGGCGCCATAGGTGGACATATACATGTTTTAATGGTAGAGATTTTCAATAGAAAAAGATGTCATACTATCTGCTGCATTCGACTGAAATATATATGAAAAACAGAGTGATGTCATAATATCCTTACACTCGGTAACGACTTATTAGCACAAACACGCTACAGTATCCACATTAGGTGCATCCACTTTTGGGCATCCGAATTTGGGTATTCACTTTCGAGTATTCACTTTTGAGTATCCATATTTATAGCTACATATTTATATATATATATATGTTTTGAAAAGCTGAGGAATTTGAGTTGTTTTGGTGTATCCACTTTTTGGGTATCCACTTTTGGGTATCCACATTTATATATATATAAATGTGGATACCCAAAAGTGGATACGCTTAATGTGGTTACATCAGATTTTAGATGCACTAAGAATGGATACTCCATAAACTATTGCTTCATAGGGTATTGTGACGTAAAACTCTCGATACCCAATGTAAAGGTATTATGACATCTATGGAAAAACAGTATTTTGAATGATGAGTCCTTCGAATATATTCAGAGTACTTGAGAATTAGATATTAATGACTTTCAAAAAGTAATTAGTTTTTCAAATATACAAACAATAACAATAACAGCAACTTACTATTACGGTATTCTACGAAAAGGCAGTTGTCACTTATACAGATCAACAAGATACGCATACTATTAGATCTAATGCATAGAAGACATCAACATGTCTGAGCCAGAAAAGTACTTACTAGCATATAATATATCGCATGACTTGTTCTCGACAATATGATGTACAATACATTGAAGTGCGTCATATGAGAGACAGCTGCTGTGACATAAGTCTTTTATTTGAGTTCCATCTATCTTTCGCATATACCACAGATTTTGGATCATATTTGAAAAATTTCTAGCTGTCTAATATCAGTAGAATTGATAATATCTATTCGCTCGTAGTGGATGATGATAAGATCTTACAGTCTAGATAATTTATTCTGAAATATTCATCAATATCTCAATGAACTCTGTAATGATGACTTATCGAGAAATAAACTAGAAGAAAACGCGTAAAAACCTGGGCACACACTCAGTCGCACGTACACTCTATCATGTCAAAAGAATGAATCTGGAATAATGAAATCAAAGAGTGCGCCAATGGTTAATCAGTTGACTGCGAGTTATTCTATTCAATGATACATATTAAGTTATCATTCTATTTTGGTTTTGTTTAATCAAATTTATCTTTGATAAGATTTTAATTTTTACTATTGTGTCTTGCATCTACTTTCTTATATCATAAGCATGCGACGGATCTACGAAAAAATCTATGGAATTTTCATTATTAAGGTGTTATTTTTCCGAATTGTTTTTTGTAGTAAGAGTTCTCTTTTTGCTTATGTTAATCCATTCTTTGCGATTGTACTTGGGCGTGTTTTATTACTTAAAACAAAGTACAGAAGAATATTTTATTCATTATAGTAAGATATTTGGTTCTACTTAGTTTTAGATTTCTAATTAGAAACCTTGATTAAAATTGAATTTTTTTCATCAGAAATCAACATATGTTAAAAATAGATCATATCAAAGAAATAGAAAAGTTAATAGACCGGACTAACAGAAATTCTATGATTCACAGCGTATTAAAGATTTATGTTCTTCTTTGATGTTCATCCGAGTGTTCACAACAATAGAAATCGAGTCACGAATTTAAGAAAGGAATATTCAATTCTTTTTCAATACCTAACAGTATTATCCTATCAGACAGCATACAACCATGTGTTTTAGGTAGTCGATATCTCGGTTGACTTGAGCCACGGCACCAATCAACTGAACACTGCTTTGAGTTAATAGCTGGATATCACGGTTACTCCCATTCACGATTTCAAACAGTCGACATATGTTGCGTGTTAAATCTTGTGTATCACACGCTGTTGATGAGTTAGATGAATCTGTGTTTGATAATGGTGATGACCGAATGTCGCTTCCAAAAAAAGTCTTCACCAGATGACACATCTTCCTTTTGGTAAAGCATCTCCTCCAGCTTCAGCTGCACCACCAGGACTAACTAAGCCATCAACTTTAGCATTAGCACGTGTTCTGTCAGCAATAACAGTAGCTTCATTGCTTCCGATTTCATCTGATATAATTACAAAACTTTAAACAAACCTAATGTAGAATGATAGCACGGCATTAATTACCATTATGGTGATGTTTGTTCTTTATAAAGTAACTTAATAGTTGGTTCTAGTAGGGCTGCCTAGGTCGAACAAACACGGTCGTTTACAGCTGTATACGACAAAATACATGACTCAGCATTATAATCAAACTCATCAGCAAACTAATCACGAAATACGTCAACACTATCATTATGCTCAGTATTTATCGTTTGTCTTATTTGATTAATCAAATTTACGTTTAATTGATATTGCTGATATGATATGTAAATTGTTCACCTCAACGTAACTGCCCCAGGACGACCTTTACGACGTCCGTATACGGTGAAATACGGGCCGTATACGGCCGTTTTCTGCCGTATACGACGGTAAATCGCCGTATTTGGCCGTATTAAATGGCTCCGTATTACGATCGTAAATCTCCGTGTAGTAATACGGTGAAATACGATCAAAAACGACCGTAAAGCGCCGTATTTCGCCGTATACGGCACGGAGATTTACGATCGTAATACGGAGCCATGTAATACGGCCAAATACGGCGATTTACCGTCGTATACGACCGTGTATGTTCGACCTGGGTGCAAAATAAAATTTGTCCCATTTTTATACAAGAACTAAATGGTATCCGAGTTTTACTCGTTCACGAAATGCGATGCGAAACATGACTTAAATCTTCGATGAAATCGCAAATATGCATAAGTAATGTTTTAGTTCAATATACATCAGTAGTCTACACGTTACGTTCATAAGTTCGTAGATTTAGTTCTCTTATTGTATTCAAAGATTTAGAAAAAGCAGCATCATAATTGCTTCAACTAACTTTTTTTCCATAATCAAAGTTATTCACCGGTTCTAATGAACAACATTTTGACTTGGAAAGCTATGTTATATGCCGACCGACGTAATCAGTATACGAATCGATTATAGAATATAATAAAAATAAATAAATAAACTAATCAAGATGAAGTATAGCAATGCTCTATATAGATATTCATTTAAATCCTATTTTTTAAGTATGATTAGGTTTTGATCTTTCGTGTTCATATTTTTTTAATATTACGGTGTCATGCATTATTGTTTAATCTTGATTTTCTTTAAAGAAAAACGTAAGTAAATTGATTTGTCGTGGTTTATGTAGTTGAATACAATATTAAAACGATGTCATATCTTGATTTCGAACAAATCGATGTGTTATTAATTAAGAAGAAAATATATTATGTTACAAATTGTTCGCTTAATTTTTATGTCTTTATAAAAAAAAAGAGTAATTAAAGTTTCAAAAGTATAACCTTGTTCGATTACGCACATGACTAGGATGCCGTTTACGATTTCGATTACGATTACGAACTCCTATCGAATTACATAATTTATTATTACAATTACGTCCACAAGTCACATCAGCATTTGGTAGTTTGCAATCTTCAGGGAAATTGAGGTAATCGCAGATTGGTTGGTAGCAAACAGCTAAAAAAACACAAACCAGAATAATTCAACCTTCAACGGTATACATATATATATACATCAAACATACTAGTAAATAAGTTTGTTGCTTCAAAATTACAACTAAAAACGTAGAATACAACATTAAGGATAATTAATAAAAGAAAAATTAACTGACTAGGGTGTATCACAAAATACCCAAACAGAATTGCCTTGAATTATCAAGAGATTTCTTCGCTGTTCAGTCATAAAACCATGTTCCCATGAACAACCACGATAAATAGTAAATTCATCATCACGATTGAGACGTGTATAGCATTGTCCATTGCATGGTGTTCCATCAAGTTTTAATTCAGCAGTAACATTAATTCCACATTTTGGATTTCTTGAATTGCATTGATAACAATATCCGGCTGTTGCCGAAGCTAAATAAATGAAGAATTTCCTTAGAATTTCCTTTCGTTCCAATGTTTGCTTACTCTCATTGATGAATACAGATAAAGATAATATGAAAATAATCAAGAAAACTTTAACAAAAATGTTTTTTGTTATTATTATTGTTGTTGTTGTTCTTACATACATCTTCTAAAATAAGACAATGACTATTGAATGATGAATAAAATCAAATGCTTAGACATTAATTCAACCCTGAGACTTAAATATTACACTTGTCAACGCCAACGTTTTAAATATTTGTTAATCGAGCAAAAAAAAGAAGAAAAAAGTACGATTATGTACATGTTAGCTGCGCTATGAAACTTGAGTTCGAACTTGAAAACTGGCGACAACACCATATTATCAAAAGAATAACAACCTCCAATGTCGAATATATGTATATTTTTTTCAAGAAAAAGTCGAAAATTGATTATATAGGCTTCATATTTCATTTAGTAAATAAACTTCAAGGAAATTTGTTTCTTAATAATATAATATAACTCATAAAGAAAAATATAATTATTTGTACAAAGTATAATTCATTCGTAAATCTTCACTTCATAACCTTCACAATGATAGTTTACCGAATGTAGACCATTTTTCATATTAGAAGATATTGACCTATCAATTAATATTAATCAAATTCTTAGTTCAATCTTTTCTTGCACGTCTTACTCATATAAGACAAAAAGTGTTAACAGTTGTTTTTATTGTTTTATCATCTGTTATCATAAACGAAACGAGCTTTGCCTCTGGTATATCCTGTCGAATTCCGTATGGTACTTGTTTATATACAACAGAATCGATGTTACCACCTACTATTATCAGCTAGATCACGATATTAACAACAAATGAAAAGGTCAATAGAATTCGTTAAGATGCATCTATATACATGATGATCATATCAAGTGAATGTTATGCCTTATATGCGAAGAAAAGAAATCGATAATAATGATGGAAAATGTTGAGAATAGGAAACGTCGATCATTTGATTGTGAGTGAGCATAAAAGATAGACAGACTAAAAGATCAAGAAATATGTCGGCATTAGAATCAATGACAACGCCAGAATCAATGGCTATCTCTGTAACTTATTCAATAGATGATATGGACAAGTAAGATTTTGGTTTTTTTTTTGCCAATTTTCTTTTCTATTTTGGAGAAAAATCCAACCATAGTAGAATGACATCTAGTATAAATAGAGACTGTAATAAATAGAATAGGAAGATTTTTCGTGTCTTTGAAACATAACAATATTATTCGTAATGGAAAAAAATCATTGGATATATTTTAATTAGAAATCGACAAGAGGTATATGAAATATTATTATGTTTTTCATTGCAATTGAATATAAGAGTGGCGTCATGACTACATAATGGTAAATTATGGAATATTTTTCTATTAATGATTAATTTTGATTGATCCTTTCGATGTGTTGTTGTATTTTGATGCTAAATTATTTGCAGGAGATATTTTCAGTATATTTTTGAACATTATTCGATATTTTTCATGATAGAAAATAGCAGATTTATTTGAAAATTCTTTATTTTAATTTTACGTATTCTATATGTGATTTTAAAAGATTTTCCCAACGTTTCCCATGAAATTCTGTACCTAAATGTTAAAAATAGGACAAAATCATTTGAATAAGATCACATCAGTCTTTATTTTTTTTTCTTTCGCATTATTATCGTACGACAGATGATAATGATAAAAGAAATGATTAATTGATCTTATGCGTTAGTACGGTATAGTGTCGAATGTATTGATGTTAGAAAAGGAGGAGAAAAAACAACAAAAAGTTCTTGGTGTTATCGATCTTCGCCAAGTCTTTCTTTTTTTCTTTCTTATTCTATACTCTTGTCTGTGTCCATTCTGTTTGTGTGTGTGTTTCTCTCTCTCCTTCTCTTTTTACCAGTTCTTCTATTGGTAACGATACCTCCTACTAGAGAGACAAACAACAATAATAATAACAACAACAACAACAACAACAAAAATAGACTATAGGTAATCAGACAAGAATAAAGGACATATTGAATTCACAAAAATAAAAATAATTTAAGTTGATGACATTGTGTAAATCGTCCAGGTAATAGACAGAAAAAGAAGAGAAAGGATCATATCGACAATTACAATGCCGATTTGTCAAGCGCAACCAATGTAACGATAAAAAGAGAAAAAAAAAAATCGCTTTTTCTTACTCTCTTTTCTTTTCTCGTTCTTTCTTGTGCCTCTCGCGTGTTTGTATTTGTGTATAACTGTGTGTGTGTTGTTTTCTTCATTCTCTTTAGTTATAGTGTGTCTGTCTGTTTTGTATACTTTTTCATGATGAAAAAAGAATGCCATAGTGTATGTTCTCATCCTCGTATACTACATACAGAACAGATTCATATTCTCGTTTTTTTTACTCGTTTTGTCTTCTTCTTCTTCTTCATGTTCTGTTTTTGCTTGTTCTCGTCATTCTCTATCTATTCTCAATCGTCATTTTGTAGAACATAGTATAGAATGAAAGATTGTGTAACACCGGCACCTCCTCCGCCGCCATATCCCTATTATTCGCCAACATATACTCATCATCAATACAGATCACCAGCATGGCATCATGCACTTTCATCTCCGTCTCATCATTATGATCTATCGGCATTATCTAGATCACCTTATCGCTATACACCTACAGCACATTACTATCCTTCACATATAAATGGCAGATCTCCTCAATATCAATCGAATAGGTAAGAAAAAGAACAGTAGGATATGGTATAATCTGTCTTCAATTATGGCATTTTTAGCAGTTGATTTTGTTGTTACTTATGCTTTGGATGGTATAATCTTTGTAGAGCAGCATATGGTTATGTAGGCGGATTAGTGACGATAAGATATTTGTTGATCATTGTAATTGTTCTATATGCAGTACTCTTACTCTTTGCCAATCTATTCACCATTTGCGTCTAGCATGTCAGCAACTCATATACATAGATTAAATGCGAAATGTGCTCGTCTGTATTATATTGATCTAGAAAAGGCAATAAGGCCAAACATTAATCTAATGATTGAGAATACCAAGGATTTTCTATCAGAAGGTCATTCAGAATATTGAACTTGAATTGTATACATTCATAGAGAAAGAAAATAGCTTCAAAATTTTGTACTATCGGGTCATATAATAAAATTTATACATTCGATTGTTTGTTCTTTAATATTTTTTTTTTCTTACTATTTTTCATACAGAAGCAATCTGTATGGTGGTAACTGAAAATCTTTTGATTTCTCTCGACGTTATTTCAAATTCTAATTCAATCATAAAAAAAGTATAAAAGTGAATCATAAACAAAAAAAACCTTGAATTATTTATAAAAATAACAAGAAAAAGAAAGCTAATATTTTTGACAAGAGAGAATGAAAAAGGCAAGCAGCAAAAAAGAAGGACTATCAACAAGTTATATAGTCTACAAGTATGATAACGGATGATTCAGTTTAGTTCCTGCATCTTGTCTCTTTTGTCATGTACGCACTCCAGAAAAAAAAGTAATTTCTTTGAAACTGTCAAAAAGTCAAATCTGTTCTACGTTTATAGGCATACTGGCGGCCATGCACGGGGAAGTTTTTTTGCTTTAGTATAAGCCTGCTTTTTCATAGTGTCAAAGCTATTTATTACGTTAAATATTAACAGTATAGGATAATTATATTGATAAGAAAAATTTTTCCGTTGTGTCTCTTTTTCCTAAAGTGATAATCCAAATCTGACTTACGTCAATAGTAAAGAAGGAAGATGTGTTGATAGATAAGAAAAGATAAAAATTTGATGCGTGACTTTTTGTTTTGATCTATTTAGTCAAATTCAATATGTTGAAGATGATGAAGATGCACGATCGGAAGATGGTGACGAATCAGATTCACCAAAACCATTCGATAAGTAAGGTTTCTATTGATAGCAGAGAATTTTATAAACAAACAAAATGAATAATATTTTCTTATTATTTAGAAAAATGTTTATTGGGGGACTTTCATGGCAAACAACACCAGGTAACCCTATATATATATATGATAACATATAGACTCGTGATATTATTTTGCAAAGTCAAAAAGAAAAATTGAAATGTTCAAGGTCATTAGCTATCATTTTCTTAAATCAAATCAATGAAATTATATTTTTTAATATGCAAATTAAAACAGCGAAAAAAAACGGAAATTCTATGATAATTCTCTTCTAGGATTCCTTTGAGATTATTTCTTGTCTTATCAATATGGTATATGTAACAGACATAGGTTTTTTGTATTTTTAGAAAATTTGAAAAATTATTTTACTCAATTCGGCGAAGTATTAGAATGTATGATTATGAAAGATGCGATTACAAAACGATCAAGGTAAATAAACGACAAAAATTACATTTATTTGAATTCTACTTTTAGAGGTTTCGGTTTTATTACATTTAAAGAGCCGAACTCGGTCGATAATGTTCTCGCAAAAGAAGTTCATATGTTGGATGAAAAACAGGTATGAAACATTTTTCTTCTTATACATCAGTCTGATAATAATCGTAGAATATGTTTTTTGTCTTAATTATTGTTGGATCATTAGTTTCATTGGAAAATGAAGATTTCGATAGTGTAGATGTTAAAGGCATTGAGAAATTTGATGATAATTTAACAGATACATGTCGTATAGATCTGCTTGTATAAACAAGTGAACCAATAAAGAATATAACAAATAAAAAAAGACTAATTGTAGCAAGTATGATATAATGTATAAAACGATGTTGAGATATGTGAGATTTCACATGATAAGAATTATGAGCAAAAATAAGTAGAACCGTTGTTGTTAAAGATGAAAGTAATGTAAATAGAATAAACATAAATGCAAAACGAATATTATCATTACGAATGGAAATTTCATCTTGACAAAGATTTACAGATCGTCTTGACATGTGATAATAATAGAAATTAATAATACTCGCTAAGTTTGCCCTTTGATTTCTTATAAAGCTAAATGAGACTGTTTAATTAAATACATGAAAGTAAAAGCAAAGTTCGTGATATTTATCTCACAGAGAATTTTATTTTATTTACTAAGAATAAATATAGAAATAATTAATCAATGCAGCTATTTTATTGCTATCAGCTCATTACAGCTCATCAGTAGTGTTTTTAAAAGTACTTTTAATTTTCTTCCCTCTAACATCATGTTTGTTATAATTTGAAAATTTGGCATCTTAGTACTTACATTTATTTCAGCCAAACACTTAAAGAAATATTTTCTTGTGTATAGATGTTGATGTTTAAATACAAAGAGAAAAACTAACATTTACCGAAAACTTGAGGCAAATGACGGCATCCTTTAGTCTTATGTGCGACTAATCCTAAGTCAATGCAATAAAAGAGCCAATAATTGACATACACACATATATATATTTATATTTATTTGAGCGAGATGATAACACATCACATAGATTGTGACCATTTCTATGAAATGGATTCGGTATAACAAAAAATAAAGAATCTATAACTTTTGGGCCTATAGCAATAAGCCAAATAACGGAAAACAGATAATCCAAACGATGAAAAACAAAACACATCATATTCATTAGTTATATAGAAGACGTGATCTGTTATACGTATATTCATATTTTACTTCGCTTTATTTTGTCATGTCCATTGAGCAGATATTTGAATCTAATCAATAGTATCAACCATTGCTTAATAGATTTTATAAAACAAAAAATTAGCAATCAATAAATTTATTTGTAGATAAGTCTCGTTTCTTCTTTACGTCTAACTTTTACAAACAATCATTAAATAATAATCATAATAATTATTATAAGTATTTATATAAAGTAAACAAACGAATAGACATTTTTCTAGTTCTTAATTATTATTATTATTGAAAACATTTTCTTTTTGCCTTCCCCTCAGGCTATTCTTGAACGTGTATTTTTTCACACGTATGAACTCTTCGAATGGGTGTTATCTTGTGCACGTGATATCATCAAAACACGCACACATACACACAACAATAATCAGTTGATCAGTCATCTGTGTCATAAAGAAAGAGATAAAAATAAATAAATAAATATATGTTTATTTTATCTTGATGTTTCCATTTGGTTAACTTTAAAGAAGAAAAATTCCAATTTTGCTACACCTTTAGAAGGATTAAAAATAAAGAGAAAGAGAAAAGAAAGAGAAAAAGAAAAAAACTAGCTTTTTTATTATCTATTTGACATATTGTATTAATGTCATATGATTTAAGTTTTATTTCATATTTAGATCGATCCCAAGCCGGCCTATCCTCGTCAAAAACATCCTAAAGTAAGTGGTGATCATTTACTGATCATTGAAGTTTCTTTTCTTTTCTTTTTTTTTTCCTTTTTCTGTATGAAGTCTTTGTATGTGCGCGCAAATGATGACAGTTTTATACTCGTTACATGTTAGTCTTGTAGTTGGACGAGAAAGAAAAAGCAACACTACTATTCATCGGAATTGATCCTATAGGCCACTAAAAAAGCGACACCAATAACGGATCATTTGCGAGAGCGTGCATGTGCATCCGGTCTCTTGCTCTCTTTCTCGGATGCTCACAAGATGACTAAAGAACATTCGACTCTGTTTGAGTCGAGAGATGAGGGGAAACAGCGAACAGAGCGAGAGACTGAGTCAGTCAAAAAAAACGGAACGTGGAGAAAAATTAAGGGAATACGGAAAACAGAGAAAACAAACATAGCCGTCTTCATCATCATCATCATCATTTTCCGTTGTAATACATCTAGAAAGGAAAAAAAAGGATCTTTAAATATAATCAAAAAAAAAAGAAAGAGCGAGAACGAGAAGAAGAAAAAACGGCATTCACTTCGTTCTACTCATGATTATTCTTTATTGATGACAACGAGATAGAAAGAATTGATGGCTAACAAAGATACAGTCAAGATCTAACTATCTATTCTCAAGTGACGAAATCCGCTTGATTTATTTTGCTTTCTTACATTTAACACTATTCTTTCAATCTGACAAATCTTCTTTTCACATATCATTTGATACAATGAGCAACGGAAACAGTCATGCAGTTGTTTTACTCGACAGTATAGCTGCTCAAGATCTTCTTAGTAAAGCAAAGGTATGCATAATTCTTTCTGTATTAAAAGGTTTTACATAATACTACTAGTCATATTGAATGATGATTATCCTTATCATTAAGACTACTCAATCTTTTTTGTTGATGTTCGATTTCTTTCCACACCGTCGACAGTAATAGCAGAAAAGAGAAAAAACCGGTCGGTGGTATATGTAATGGTAAAACAGGGAGAAGAGAAAGAGAGAAAGAAAATGAGACCGATTTAATTGAAGGATTGATTGCATCAGCACAACAATACATTCTTTTACATTCTATCAACAAATTACAGCAATCATATAACGGAATAGAAAATGTAACAGCAGCGTAGATAACTTTTTTTTTTATTCTTGTTATAAATATGAATAGCAGGTGATCGTATGATTATCTTACATTAATAAAAAAAAAGAATTTTTTCTTCTTTCTATTGAAAGAATTTAATTCATGTGATAACCTTTAACCGTCACAGTGGGCAGCGGTCGTCCATTGAACGGTATTTTTTTCAATACGTCCTAAGAAAGAAAGAAAGAGATGTAAAAGTGTAATTTACATTTTTGACCACGAACTCTTTCTCATAAGCGGCGTTCTTTTGTTTCCCTGACCTGTAAAGGCCTCCAACCATCCATCATTCTCTTGTTCAGCTCAGTTCAGTTAGACGAGCGTCACTATTCGTTGTCTTAGTCACTAGCAACACCATTAACATGATCATTGTCCATCTTGTGGGTCTTTCTTTCTCCGTTCTCGTTTTTTTTTCTCTCTATTGTCGTTGCCGTCGTCTTCTAGGCTCGTTTGACTCTACAATTCTGAAATTTCATAGGGTGATGTGCTGTCGATAGCAAGTATATAGGCAAGAGAGCAACAAGTAGTGTGTGCGTATATACGAGAGAGAATTTCAAATTCTTTCTCTCTCACTCTTCTCCGCTCGCAAGAAAAAAAAACAAGAAGAAAAAAGAAAGGGAGAGAGAGAGAGAGAGGGAGAGAAAGAAGATAGATTTCGTTCTTCTCCATCCAACCCGCTCATTCTTTCGCACGAATGTACACATATAGCGAAACGTACAGTGTACATGCAATATACACTTAGATTCATATACAATAATTGATTACCGTTCGATGATGGCTACGTATATATTTTTGGATCCTAATGATATTGTTCAACAACAACAAGCAATGGCAGCAGTTGCTGCTGCTACTATGAATAATACGACAAATACTAATAATAATTTCTTTACTAATAATATTCCTAATTCGACTGCTTTAAACAAGAGTTCATCATCAAACGATGTAAGTTTTGAATCAAGAAAATGATTTCCTTTTTTCTTCTTCTCTTTTGCGTTTGTTTATTCTTTGGTATTTACGAATCGATACAAACGACTTTTATCTTTACGCATGTGTCTGTATACATAGATTCATCACATGTCTATTTGACTAACCTTCATGTGATTGTACGTATCATGTACAAACACAATATTGAACCTTTTTCTTTTTTTGTCTCTTACTTTAATCCATGATCATCTTTGTTTATGTGGATTGAGCTCAGTTGGCGGTGGATGGAAAGTCATCTCGTCGAGCGTTTTTTTCTTACTTGGATTTACGTCACAAAGGTCATCACTAGCGAGTTTAATTTGAATATAAAATGAGAATGGAAAAGAAAAAGACTTCGATCGTATAATCAAATGAGTACGAGTATAAGTGTGTATGTCTGTATGTGAGAATAAGAGAGAAAAAGAGGCTATTCGCCGTTATTGCCAATTGATCGGTAACAGTGAGAGAGATTTAGATGCATTGGTTGCCATTTCTCCTCCCTAATTAAACAGAAAATGATAATGCCCCGAAGAACTAATCGAAGAATTTTCTCTTCACTTGTTCCGTCGTACCGCACACTAGTGCTTCAACAATACCATTCGAGTTGAGTAGTTCTCTTTCTTTCAGCTTTATATATATATATATATATTGATCATAATCATTATCGTTGATGAGAATGGCAAGGTTCATTAGGTCGAGAATGCAACAGATTGATTTTTGGCAAATGAATATTGCGAACGAGTAGTCTCTTGAGATACCTTGTGTACATATACGTCTAAGTTAAGTAATGTACTCATGGGAATGTGCAAAAAAATCGGAACCAGACAATGATGATAAAGAGACACTTATAGATGATATTCATAAATCCGCAAATAAATAACGTATGCGCGTGCGTGTGTGTGTGCGAATAGGAGTAATCATCAATTCTTATTTTTTTTTCTTCGTCTTCATCTTACCATTACATATATATATATATATATATATATATTCTTCTTAAGATGGTGACACGAACAAAGAAGATCTTTGTTGGAGGATTATCAGCTAATACAACTGTTGAAGATGTTAAAAAATATTTTGAACAATATGGAAAAGTAGAAGATGCAATGTTAATGATTGATAAACAAACAGCACGTCATCGAGGTATGTGTATATAATTATTTTGTGATATAATGAAAAAATATATACACATTTTAAAAAAATTTTCTTATCCTAATTAGGTTTTGGTTTTGTCACTTGGGAATCTGAGGATGTTGTTGATAAAGTATGTGCCATTCATTTTCATGAGATCAACAATAAAATGGTAAATATTTAATTGAATTAAATCAATATCGATTCAAATAATTTAATAAAGGTTGAATGCAAAAAGGCCCAACCAAAAGAAGTCATGTATGCTCAACAGATGGCTAAAGGAAAAGCAGCATTACAACGTGGTGCCTATGGTGATATACTCAGTAAATATTTTTCAACTATTTTCATTCTATTCTTTTTTTGAAATAATAACTATTCATTATAGGTGCTTATGTATATGGTTTAAATCGAAGTATTCCAGCAACATATGCAGCACCAATCTATCCATTTTCGCCTGGTATGTTTCATTAATTTTTTTACGAAAAAAGCAAAATCCAATATTTTCAGCTACATCATGAAAAAAAATTCACGATCCGTATGTGTTTTTTTCTATTAGTAGATTACGAGCGTCTAGAAGATAGGATAGAAAATTAAACAAGATTATATATATATATATCTAGTATCGTAGTTCGTGATATGTTAGGTACACGTTTTATTGTTCTCTTGAAGAAAAATATCTCTAGTTTATATATATATATATATATATATATATGTACATATATATGTATATATACTTATGTTTGTTTTTTTCTTATGTACGCACTATTTTTATTTTATTTTATTTTGTTTTGTAGACGGAATGTCCTCTACTTATGGTGAGAGTGTGCTATAGAAAAAAAAATGACGCATAGAGCTTGTTTTAGAATATATTATTCATACACAATTTGATTATTTCATTAGTCGAATAATAATCAATCTGTAAAACACCGATCCAAAATTCAGCAGTAATTCAGTTTGAAAATACATAAGTATATTCTACTGGTATTTTTGTTTGACTTGTGTATATATCAACTTCTTTTCCTTTGACCCTTTTGAAGATTATGAAATTAGTTATATCGACAGAAGCTTTTCTCTTTCTGTTAATATTTTATAGAATTTATTAAAACAAAAAAGTATAAAAGCAAATTTTATTGATATTTTGTTTTGCCTTTTTATTCTATTAGGTTTACAATCAGCACAGATCAGTTATATACCCGCTACTGTTGGTCTTCAAACACCAACATTAACGCCAGGTGGTGAACAACGTTACTTTGAATATCCTATGACACCACAAGGAATGCATACTGGTATTGGTCAACTCGGTCGAGATTCATTATTGCAACGAAGTAAGATTTCTTTTTTTTTCTTTAATTTGGAATTCTTTTATTAATCAAATAAATTAAATCTATGTTAAGGTGGTAATGGAATCGATTTTTTTCAAGCCGACCCACTTGCTGCACAATATTTACAGTCAACAAGCCCATCACCTGGTTTACCTATTGCTGTATGTTGAACTATTTTCTATTTAAAAGAAAAGAAAACTAACATAACCTATTGATATTAAGACGTCACTATTAACAACACCCTATGCTAATGGATTTCATGGTCATTAAATCGGTACAATAAAATTTGGCATTTATCATATAAATTGATTTATGTTTCTTTTATATATTAGACATCAATAAAGTCGACTGTATATTGTGTTTTTGTTTTTGCATGCCTACTATTCTCATCCTACCATTTTCATATGTATTATCATCTGATTACAGTGCAAAGCCCTGTTTGAAAAAAGATCATCGAAATTCGTCCGGCTTCAAATGCTTTTTTTTCGACATTCCTGTCTTCCTTGATTAACAACATACACACATACATACAAACATATGCTTGATTATTACATATTATTTTTTATCTAATTGTTTTCTACACAAACATCTTTTTGTCGGCATGCATATTCTTGTTGTTTGTTTATTTCGGATTTTTTTTTGTTTATTTCTTGGATATCCCTCTTTTCTTTTTGAATATAAGAAAAAAAACAGCAAAGAGAACGAACGAACGATATTTTCGCGTTAGTTTTTTGTCTATCTCTACCGATGTGATACTGTGTATGATTAGAAAACATAGATTAGCAAAGGTAGAGTTTATGGTTAGAGAAAAATAAATAAGTTTATAGGCAAGACAAGTACTGTTTTTTTTTCTTTTTCTATCATGTAATTTTGTTTTTGTTTTTGTTTTGCACTGATCATGATGGTTATTCGATTATTTTGATTTTGTTTTTCTCAACCGGTTTATCTCACTATTCTTTACTCTTTGCTTAAAAAAAATTGAATTGTCTGCAAATAGTGTGTGACTGCTTCGTTTTCGTTTTTTGTCGCAGTTGTTTCTTCTTCTATATCTCTTTCTCTCTCTCTCTCTCTCTCTCTATTGCCGTTGTCATTTTTTTGTCTATCACTCCTCCGCGCATTGAAGAATAAAATCAGATCTCTGTTCAATCATGCAGAAATTCATGGTCTATAAAGAATCACTATTCTGTCAAGTCCAATCATTGATTTGTATACTTGAAAAATAATTAATTATTAAAAACGAGAAATGTTTATTGAATGTTTTCTAAAATACCAAGAGACTTTTAAAGCGTAAATAAACTAAAGGAAACATATTGTCATTTAGTAGTTAAAAACTATTAATATATAGATACAAAGAGGTGTATGTGTAGTAAATTTACTGAATTTAACGATTGTTTGCTTTTGGATATGAAAACCCATTATTTCAATGCTATTAAAAAAAAGGCAATACTCTTAATTTTGAATAAAATACACCGACAAGAATCTATATTGTCGAAATATTTATTTTGAAGCAAATTTGAAACGTATCTTATTTTAGCAAGAGAAATATCTAGTTTTTTTTTGATCGATTCTCTTGTGCAGTTCGAGATCATTAAAAAAAAAAACTACGATGGTTTTCAATAAGAGAACATTGCATTTTTATTTTTAAAAGTTCTATTCAAAAGACATCATGGTTTTCTTTTGAGCTGTACAAGTCCATGAACTATACAAAGCCTAATTATAGACAGAAGATATTGAGTATAGTGAATCGGTGAGCTATGCTTGTTTTCAATTTCAAAAAAATAATCCAAGCAAATTGAATTTAATTATTCGAAATTTTCTTCGTACATTGAGAAATATGTGGCCAGCCTTTTTACTAGTTTTATATTGACAATAACTTGCATCTTTTTGTAGTAGTATGATGAATATAATAGAGTTCGATTAGTCTGTCTCAATCGATTTCTATTTTATGAATTGAAAACCATAATCACGTCAATCATTTTTCCATTCAATTATAAAGAAAGACACATATGTAAATTAACTTTATTTTTATCGATATGCAAATATCAATTAGTTTTTATGGGCCTATTTTCATGGAAAAAGCACTTTTTGTCTAATTTGCTATCTCTCATAAGTGAGATAGTCAGCTCATTAAAAGTTCATTCAAGATTTTTAAACAGATATCATACATTAAAAAAAATAGAATGAAACAGTGAGAGAATATTACTAAATAATTCAAAATGTTGATAATAAAAACTTTGAAAGAACGATATTGTCGTAAATTTAATCTTAGAATTTGTTTCCTGTATCATTGAGTATATAGCGAGTATCAATGCCAGACCAAAATCTAGCAATTAGACAATTACTGTTGACCAAAGGCAACGAAACAGATACAAAATGACCGATTAGTCAAAGAAAGAAAAATAGATCATTAGTAATAATCCAGATTTTAGAAGAAGCAGACAATATCTGCATAGAACGTTAACGCATCTGAAGAACAGTGAAAGCAATTCAATCGAGCATCTTTTCTTTATAGTAAAGGCTGAAGAGATGATCAATTTCGATTTAGAAATTCACATTGATTATATGTAATCAAATGTATTAAATGAACCCTTTATTCTATACAAATATGATAGGCACTTTCATGTCATTTTGGTTGTCTATATAGATGGTTTGGAGTGTTATAATTGATGAAATGATATTATTATGTAAACAAAAACTGTTCATATAGTTCTCACAATACGAAAATAAATACATCTTTCGCAATAATACACACCGACTTTTATCTAAGACGGCACGTACAATCATAAAAATGAGAAGCTACTAAAATATCACTTTACAAAATTTCCAAAGGTAGTTTTATGATGAAAGTGTAACGGTTTTGAGTTACTTGTAGTTTATTCTTTCATATATTATGGAGGGATTACAACGAAAAAGGGAGGAAACGGATAGGAGAAGAAGATTGAGTCAAGAATGACTGATGAACAACAGTTGAACAAGGGTATTTATATGTGTACGCGAAAGAGAGAGAAAGAGAATAATGATAACGAGAGGCACTGCTCCCAGGGATGAGTGTATAATAGATGAATCCATCACAGAAAGGACATAAATTTGTTGTACTTTTGAAAGTAAAAACATAATACTACGGTTATATTAGCAGAATATTTACGAAGAAAGTATCTCGATCTATGTATACGAATTCAAAATTTGATTTTTGATGAATTAATATCTAACCCAATGTTATTAAATTATAGTGTAAAATGAATAAGAAAGAAAGAAAGGAAATAAATACTAGTTAGACCTGACTAGTGTGTACTACATGAAAGGCGACACAACACTATAATTTCATAGTATTCTTTGGTCATCTAAATAGCTAATCGAATACATATATTCGATAGCGACCTCTTGATAAGAAATCGATCTTAATAACTGATCTTCAATACCACACTATTTAAAATGTTAAATTCTGACGAAGAAATTTTTTTCGATGAAAATAATTTTTCATCATTAGTTGCATCAAGTCTTCGAAATGTTATTGAGAATAGCATAGTGAATCCTGTATTTCCTTATCGAATATTATCTCTTTCACATTTATCATCGTGGAATACATTTCAGAATGATTTAATTCAAATTTTGAAACGTAATTCGAATATTAATCAACAGATTAATCAGGTTTTTATTCTAGTTATATTTGTTATATGTTGAATTCATTTTTTGTAAATTATAGGATCTTCTTCTTTTACACTATTTTCATTATTATACAACTCATCATAATGAAAAGCAACATGAAAATTCTTGCTTTGAAACGTTGTTGAATTCTCACATTGATGTAATTCGAACTAGTCAATCAGATTTTGATCGTTTACGTCAAATTATGTAAATTTTTAGAAAAAAATTAACGTGTTAAAATATTAGGAAGACTCAATTTACTTATTTATTCAAATAATAAATTATTTAGACAAAAATAATACTTTTGTTATGATTTACAGATTTTTCATTTTTTACATTCTTGAATCAACTTCATGTGTGCACATGCCATGAATACTTTTGCGAGTGGATCATGAAAACTTACAAGAGACCTACTCAGATTGATTCTAGCTATTTTCATTCGCATGTAGTTCATAAAATGAGCCTTGCGACAACTAGAAAAGTAAAATATTGTTTGTATTGATGGATTTCGAGTATTCAGAGTGATAACCGTTTTATTGAATCGCATCATTATCTATAAATAGATTTCATGATATAATATAGAATATCCTGGAATTTAGAGTCGAAAATAATGTACATAGTTTCATACTCCGGAGATCTATGCGTATCAAACCTTTTAAATTCTACATGTCATCTGTGTAATACTTTTATGATTTTGACATGAATACTAGCATGGTGTTGATTGAAACTCGATCTAATATTCATGAGACAAATATATACTTTGTTTTAAGATTCTTTGTTTTATCTACATTCAGCGAAATTGGTAATCAAACTGTGCATATTTATTTTGTAATAGAAATAGTCAGTTGATACAACAAAAGAACTCGCGACGCTTGCAAAATACTTGAAGTCGTGTAGAAAAAAGTTGTTTACAAAATAAGACGTGAACTCAATTTTAGTGTTGAAAGTTAAATACTTACAAAAACAATAATTTCAAATATTCCTATTGAATGCTTATAATGCAAATATCTCTCTAAAATATTGATCACAGACCGCAATGAAGATAACGTGTTTATGAATTGTTTTTAACATCAATATTAAAAATATCACTTAAAAGAATACCAAATCGAGGAGACGCTCTCGGAGCTTATGTTTTGTTTAAAAAAAAAGAAGAGCCAAATATAAATCATTTGATGAATCTAATCAAGTTGAGGCATCGATAATAAACCAAAAATTGCAACCATTGATTTATATTTCAAAAACATATGTAAATGATAAGAGGAAGAATGCAACTGAATAGTCAATTTTCTATACGAATGGTAATAGTTTTTTTTCTTTTTTTATAAAATCAAAGATGAAATTTTACTCAGCTGTACCTTTGGCGCAATATCTATTTCGAAATAACTGTTTTTTTTCTTGTTATGAATGAAACGAAATCGGTCGTTACACAATGATCAAGCAGAATTTTCTCTTAAACGAGCACATCTACAAAATGAAATTAATCTTACAGATACAAAAGAAGAACAAGCTCATTTGCAGATAAATCCTATTCATTTAAATTCATCTGATAAAAGACATGTTGTAGAAAAAGTTCAATTATGGTTAAGTAATATTAGACCAATAGAGAGATAAATAAATTGACCTCACCAGATTTTAAAAATGTCACATTACTTTCATTTTATAAAATAAATTCTATTTAATTCATTTTACTTTCTATAAACACATGAATTATAATTAAAGATCATGCTAATTTGAAACGAAATAAGATTCAGAGATATAATTTGCAAATGGGAACCATTGAAAATTCAACTGACATTAGTCGCTTAGGAAGAATGAAGCTCGTCACATAAGATGAGGTTACCTTACATAAGATATAAAAATATTCATTTTTCAGTATTTTCCATACTTGCATCCGAACTAGTTGAAGTTTTTCACTCGAAAGGTTTTCGCCATGCATTTTTTTATCTTGAACAGAAGTGCCTAATATTTGAGAAAAAAATTCCATATCCTTGCTTTTAGAATAGGATGGGATTTTTATATTGATGTGTATGTGTTTTCTGCAAATAGCATATAGAATCATTGGAAAAATGTCACATGATAAAGTACATTTTCATCAGTATGAACAGATATACTAGGATCGATGGCATTCATCGTAAAATAATTCTCAGTTATAAATCTTGTTGTTCTTTGAAAAAGTAAATTTCACTGTATAAAAAAAAGTGTTTCAAATTTACCATCATATCTATACTTGCCATACCAGTATCTTATGGATAGTCACTCTGTTCGGGCGAAAACTCTGTATTTATCAATACTTTAGATGTGTGTATCTATTGCAGAAATATCAGTGAAATGGACTAGACCGATTGAACAAAATTCTAATGAAATTGGCCGTAACTTTTGTGCAATACCTGACATAGAATATGCCAGATTGAAAGAACAAGAATACATATATCTTTGTGGTTTAATTCTGAAGTAGTTTGAATCAATGAACTTTGCAGAACATACATGAATCATACTAACTTTAAAAAGATGTGAAAGATCATTTTTGGAATAGACTTGAATCGGAGTAGTAGAATTTTAATCGATTCCGCCAATGAAACATACGTAGGAATTCGATCTTTGGATTTGTTATGCATTTTTTAACTAGAAATTCTGCTGAATTATTTTGGATGCTAAAATATTACAATATACAATCATATTGTATATCTAATTCATTGACGTGCGTATTTCATGTCAGTCAGATGACCAATCATGATGAATTAATGATTTGTTGCATGAAAATATTTACTATTTGTAGCATTGAAATTTCATTCAATGCCTTATTATACATGTCCTAACAAAAGCAACTCGATAATTTAGTTGTTTTTGTTTTTCTGTTATTTATTTCTATCGTTATATGAACAAAAATAGTTGATAGTTAATTTCCTCCAAAAAAAATTGATTAAATAAAAACAAAATAGGATCGTCCTTAAAATAATACTAGCAGAAAAAAAAATGCGTAATAGATAAATAGATTAGATCTTAGAACACAGAATATCTGTCGTCGAGAGTTTTAGGCAAAGCGCGAAAGTGATTCAGTCGATAATAGAGGTGCATCGTGTTCTCTTCTTTGACAGTAGAAGTATCCAAATGTTCCAATGATAAGGATACCGAGACCAAAAACAATAGAACACAAAATCACCGTCAACATTTTATTCTTGGCATTATCTTCAATAAAGAAATTAGTTTCATTAATCAGAAATAATATGAATTTACTTGGCGGAGTTGGTGGAACGTTTTTTGTACATTCAACTTCAACACTTGTTGGGAAACGAGGTTGATAAATAGCTGTAAATGTTTCTAGTGGACATTCGAATGCTGGACATCCATTTAACAGATAAGGATAAGCCTTATTTGAATCTGTTACGTTCAAATATTCTACTTTAACATAATATGTTGAATCTAGAATAAATTATCAAAATTAATTCATGAATTTACAAAAACAAAAGCAGCGATTTACTTTGCTTGTAAAGATCAAGAAATAATGCTGATGCGTACTAAATATTAGATAGACGGTAGTGATACGAATGATTCAGGTAACTAGATTTTTACCTTTGGCTGATGCGGATAGTTAATACCAAGAAAAGCAAGTGCTGCACTAACTGTTGTGTCATGCTAGACATAATGATCGAATGGAAAGCTGAGAAGAATTATTTGTAACTTACAGCTGAATACATTTTAACTTTTCGGTATGTTTGTCCCCGACTCGAGTTATTCATATTCATGAAAATGTCTTGTATCGATGGGCCTATTTCGATAGATCATTCGTATTATTGAATATACTGAAATTTAACTAACGAACCGCCTCGTATTCGTTTACTGTCGTTGTTTAAATTGAGAAAATAAAACGAAGCCTCATTAATATCGGATAAAGTTTTTTGAACATTTTCATTAGCCCATGATGGTGTTCTATTATAAATTTGCTAAAATAATTAAAAAAAACATAAAGTCTAATTTGACGAAAAAAATTTCTTTCTTCATTTTTTACTTCAACATATATGGTATCAGCAATATCCCAAGCATTAAGCATAGTAATGTTACTCATGCCAGTCCATATTTGAAGTTGTTTAAAAAAATCCTATAATGAAAACATACTTTCAATCGACAGAAAAATTCATCTGATTGATATCCGCCGTTTGAGATCATATTTAGTTCATAGACAAGAATCATTATGAAGTTAAAACTCTAAAATAATTGTGTTTATAGATCTTTCTTTTCGAGTTAAGTTCATTCAGTTGAATTGCTCGGCCTGTTACAAAATATTACACAAGAAAAACACGAATACCAAGGAATATTTATTTATTTTCTATAAATATAGATTCTATCGATCTCATCAAATTCTGCAGCTTTCAATTTAAACATATATTTCTCTATTGATTCAAGTAGGAGAAAACGACGATAAAAAGTTTTATCTTTCCAACTCTTTCTTATGACAACTTCATCATCGCTCGACCCATTTTTAAAGTATCGAAAGCATTCTAAGAATAAATCATTTGTTTGAATTGAAAATGTTCGAATATCAACATTGCCAGAGAATAAATTATTGTAAATAATATCCTATTTGAAAGTTATTGTTACCCAATTCCTCTGAATCTAACGAGATTGAATCGAAAGTAAACCTCTACTGTCATGAGTCATTTCATAATTTTTATTTGTACGATAAGTCTTGCTGATGAGCTTCAACAGACAATTTCAAGCACATAGATTCTTTAATAAGTATGAAATAAAAATTGCACTCCTACCTTATAGTGCGTATTCATATTTTTGAATTCATCACTTTCATGAACTTCTTTTTCAATTTGTTCATATCTCGGGCAATCATTGAGACCGAGTAACTAAACAACGACAAACCAAAATCATTCTATGAATTATATGTATTTGAACATAACATACAAAATCTTCATTTGTTGGTACCGTGTGAATTGGAACAGGTTGAATAGGTATTTTATCATCCGAAATATTGTATAAACGATAAAGACCAGCAAGATTTGCTTGCGCTGACATTAATGTTCGATCATAATCAGTTGAACGAACATGAATTTCACTAGCCGTATAATTTAGACTGAGAATTGATCCATAACGGCCACGAAGATATTTTCCAAGACGATAATGCTGTTCAATACCAGTATTCGTTAATTGACCAAAACTAGAATTAAAACAAAAACAAAAACAAAGGTACGAAAATTGACAAATTTTAAAAGATACCCATTAGGCCAATCAGTTTCTTTTATTGGATCGGTTGGATATGTTGTAATAGGTGTTCGATCTCCATGTCTAAATAGCTAAAAATAGAAAATTTTAATCTCAAATTTCTTTTGGAAAAAGTCGAACTTACTACATGACCAGCGATAAGTTCCATTTGTTGTCCATAGATTTGATTTAATGAAATCAGAAAAATAATAATTACACTTTCTCTCATTTTTGTTTTAAAAGAACAAAGAAATCTAAAGAGAAAGTGTTTTTTTCCAATTCATATTACCTATAAATTCAAGCGTTAGCATCATTTTATTTTGAGCTCAACATTAGAAATATTCTAAATAACTAGATAAATGAAAATTTCGTTGTTTTTCATAGGCTCTCATTCAAATATAGATTAATCGTGAACAGGAAAGCAAACCAAAGGCATTGCTAACACATTCAATTTTGTTTATAAAGATTCAAATGAAATCGATAATATATGAAAATTATTATAAGTAATATTTCATTGATAATCGATGGATTATTTATTCGATTGAAAACTTGTGTATCCTAATAGAATTCGATCAATAAATTCAAAATACCTTTTAAAAATTATTTCTGTACAATAAGATAAACTTGTAAAATATATATTTGTATTCTTGGATCTGAAAACACGATAAAGATCGAAGCAAACGAGATATTCATTCCATTGATAAGTACACAAATTTACAAAACAAAAGATAGATCAAAAAATAAAGAAACAGAAAAAAACACGGTTGCATGATATGACTACAAGAACAACCTATTGCAAGAAGATATTGTGGGACTTTCTAGCTGACTAGAAAATTATGATAATGATTAAGTATTGCGTGCATCACTAAATAAAGCTAATGGAAAATGTTTAATATGTGTATGCCATTGAGATGAGATTTGAAAGAATTTCACATTATCCCATTCTTGTCCATCGACATTCACTAAAATAAGAAAATATACAAGATAAGGCGATGAGCACTGATCGAACTGAAGCATTTCTCATTAGATAACTTCAGTTAGTTTAGAAAAAGACAAAATCTATTGTTATATGAATAACTCTGACGAAACTATTGTCAGGTACATCTAATGATCAAACTTCAATCGGAAATATTATCAATATGTATGTCTGATAGACTGCAGAAAACTTGAATAGTTTGAACTAAAACAAATACATTCATCAAGAACGATTTAATTTCTATGAAAATTCGATATTTTTAACCTTCTTATGAAATGTGAAGCCCGATTTGAAAATTTAGAATACCTATCGAATAGCATTCATTGTAATCGAAAGTTCTAGAATCATTCGATGTCAGTATGAACACAATTATAGCTACATTATAATCCTTCGTGGACAACTTGCTAGCATGTTTAAATCTAATTAAAATGGTGATGAATTAAGAAAGAAAGACAAAGTTAGTCCGTCTTTTCTAATTTTCATTGATCTCACTAAAGTTTACTTATGAGCAACATAATTGCGGCAATCGACAACCTTCATAGGATAGTCCTTTCTTGAAGGTTTTTGTCTTACTGATCTCGAGAAAAATTAGGCCATCATACTATCTTCTCGTGGTAACTTGAATACAGTGACCTTAACACTGAAGCATAGCAACTATAATGAGCCACAGTCTCAAAAGTATATATATATGTTGACCTTCGTTATTGTGATGAAGCGCCTACCCATAAACAATGTTTTTGTTAGTAAAAGGATACTGTTAACCTGTAGTATTTTTTGTAAGTCAATAGGTTGATTCTCATAAATTATACTCAATGATGACTAACATAAGCTTCAGTATAATGTCTTTCAAATATTAGCAAATTGGTGACTATTTGAACATCTGTATTTTGATTTTATTTTACAAATTTCTAGTTCAGTGCATCTCTTTTTCTATATAGCCTTCAAATATTGTTTATTATTTGATTCTGTGACACATTAATTCATGTTCAATTCTGCATCATGGACAAATATTCTAAATCTCATGAATTGCTTTTTACATACCTTTCAATTCGACATTATGCGATTTCGATGTACAAACAAGCCGATTGATACCCGTTATTGCTTGAGGTTCAATCATTTTTGTACTTTGTAAATCTTTGAGCTTTTTACCAAATTTCATCACTAAAATTGATCATTTAAAAATTTTGATTATTTTGATTATAATAAATTACTTTTTTGTTTTTTTTCACGTGTAACATAAGTCATTGTTAACGAAGGAGACATGTTTCCATCTGAATTCATTGTTAATTGTCTTGTAATTGTTAACACACGTATATTCGATTTCAATGAAGATTTTATTGTTCGTATTCCATCTCTTTTTTCTTTTTGACTATCAATTATAGTCCAATAATCAACTGACACATCCACTGGTGATGGTGAAGGTTCATCTGCAGCATATGAACTTTTTATTGATTTATTTGTCGTTTTCGATGGTGGAGAACTTGATAATATTGCTTGACTATTTTCATCATCAGACGAATCTTTTAATTCACGAGATGTTTGAGGTGTTGTTATAGACAATGATAATGATGCAGAGAGAAGGGCGTTATCATCTATCGATGATAACTGACTTTCATTTGACGATAATGTACCAAGACAAACATACTACAAATAGTTATATTTTAAAATTCGAAAAAAAAACAATTCAAAATAAATAATACATACACAAAAGAACGGTAAAAATGTTGGTGATGAATCTTCATCGAGCCTAGAAAAAAATCCAAGCTTAATACAAAGAAAAATTTTGACGATTGATTTGAATTATTGAAAAACTATTTATTTAGTTTTCAATAGTAAGGGAATTTTTCTCGGTATTCTTTATCTCATTGCTGAGCTTGATAATCGCGCAAAATTTGTGTCAAAAACAATATATACTAAGATATTTACATATCAAAGAAATACTTATCTTAGATTGGATGTCAGAAACAGAATACATCAATGACATAGCGACTGAAGCATTTCTTGTAATTAGAAACCTTATATAGTGAGAAGATTTTCGTATGAGATTCACAACACAATCATATGCGCATACAGAAGACAGTCAACACACTTGGAAATGTTTTTTGTGAAGAAAGATTTAGGAGATTTCAAAACTATCTACTAGATGCCTGAATTAGAAGTCAGTAACGTTTTCATGAATTCTAGCTAATAATTTAGTATTGAATGGGCTACGTTCTTCGTATAAAATACAAATGTTTCATAAACTAATTTACGGCATCATATATAAGATAAAAACTTAAACACATACAATTTCCCTTTTCGATTGAGCATAACTTCACCAACAGGTAATGACAGTGTACGTGGAGTAGCTTTTAAATATCGTGTAATCTTTTGTGATAAATCTCGTACGTCTAAATTAAACAGAACGACGCTACAAATGAAAATTCTGTTCATGTATTGATGTTCTTTATATTACCTAAAACTTCATTAGAAGAATCATTGCCACCAAACAGTGTTTCGTATTGAGAGTCCAAACTACCGAGAAATTTCGCCAAATATGAGGAAACTAAAATAATTGAAAAGAAATACACAAAACAAGAATGCTTGCTTTGTATTAAAAAAATCAACATCAAAATTTCTTTCGAATTGTATATGTTCAAAACGGTATTCTATCACGTCCTAGCTTCCTACTATAGAGTAATTGTTCGAATGGTGGTAAGTTGCGATTTCTGAACTTTTGGCAAGCCTCATCATAAATTCTGCTTGCTTGATGTAGTAAAATGATGTGAAATTTTGAAAAAAAAAGCAAGAAGATACACAAAATACGATGGTTAAAATAGTGATGAAGTCTATTCAAGTAATAGAGATATTTTATAGAATCATAACTGTACGAAGTTCAAGATACATTTGATGTAAATATTTAAAAGCTTTTCTTAACGTTGAACTAACAAAACAAAACAACGAACACGAATATTTTTTAAAGCTAGAGTTTTGCGGCTAGATTTTTTCTAGTATTATATGAAATTGTATCGTTCCATTTTCTGCATAACATCATTAATCATTGAATGAGAACTTTGACTGAGAAAGAATCAACACAATTCACTCTTAGAACCTGTCAGCAACAGTCATTCAAAGATGTTTAGAAATTGATTCGATAATAAAAAAAATAGGCAATTGAATTTTTTCCCCAATATACAAAACTAAAGAAAGTTTTTAATATAGATTCTAGATCGACATTTTTTAGTTTCTCAATAGTTTTATCAGTGATGGAAAATAAAACAATATAACTCCAACAACTTTCGCACAATTCATTATATCTCGTGGGCTTCGTTAAGTTTTTTAAGTTTCTATCTATCTTACCCATAGGTGTTTTTAAACTATTTTGTTATAGCCATTGCATCTTCTACTCCTGGAATTACTAACTAGCTGTTTAGCTATTCTGTTAGGAATTATTTTATCTAGTTTTTATATTCGAGTCACGTTCGCATGAAAACAATTCTTACTTTTTTTATTAATGGGTTCTACGAATTCATGCTTACCGGAGAATTTTCATCGTCTTATTTCTTGATGTAGAATTGTACTGAGAATTATTTTTATTCAAATATTAATATTTTAAATTATTTCGTACTAAAGAAACCCAGATACTAACATTGATAAAATGAAATGTAAAACTACAACATTTGGTCTTCTTTGAATCTGATGGACAATTCTAGAACTATGATGTTTATATTATGATCGTAATACATTAGAAACTTATCTACGAAATCCAGTTCTGTACAAAAACTCTTTTTCTAACTATTTGTAAGCATTCAAAACAAAAATAGAATTCATGTAGTTTATGTCAAGTATCGAGTCAACTACCAATAACATTATCGATTTTCAATTATCACATCAATATGAGTTTTCATCACGTGTCTATTATCATTGATACATCGATATAGTTGAATATTTTCCCGAATATATCGAGCAGAAATTGTTCTTTGATACAACGAATGTATTCTTAGTTTACTGTAGCTTAAATAAAGATCAAGTTTTCAATTCAGAGAATAATATATCATTAAAAGTGACCCTAATGTTTGCAAAAGAATAGTTCTCTCATGAGAATGTTGTTTTCTAATGAGCAGAAAAATCCTTGGCATGGAAAAAGCGAAACTTTTTCTCCTTAGGGAAATATTTTTTCGGTAGCAAGTATTCTGACATTGCTAAAGTCAGCATTTTTTTTTATATTAGTGACGTATTGTTTTCATAGAAATAGCATTTTAATTTACCTAGCGGAACAAAATAGAATCGAAAGTAATCCATATATTCACGTGGTCTTGAAGCCAAACATTCAACATAAGATTGAAGAAACGAATTAACAAATGCATCATTGCCAAGCAGAACAATACGTATAACACATTGGCTGGCACTATTATATCACAAAAAATACCAACAGGTAACTATGTATTTTTCGAAATATTCAAAATAGTCAAACCTTTTTTGTAAACGTTGAATCATACTATTTAGTAATACTTTTGATTCAGTTAATGTATTTAGTGATATAACTGATAAATTGTATTCTTTAAATTTGGATGCAGTTATCTATTAAAATGATTAGAAAAGATATTAGTTTATAGAAAATAATGTTTTATGATTAATCTAGTTTTTGAAATTTTCAGCAACTATACGATTCGTCATTCTAATCTTAGTCCTTGAATTTTCAACACTGATTTGAAATAAGTATCGTTTGAGATAGTTAAGTTTTCATATTTGAATATAGTCTTTTTCAATCGTCACTTAGTTTTAAGAAACTATTTTATGATTTTTCATATCGTGTTTTACACATACTTTTATTGTGAACAAATATTAAAGTTAAAAACAATAGTCTCAGTTAATGTGAGTTTAGGTACATTTTAGGTTTCATTTCGTACATGTAAAAGTCAATTTGACCTTATCTTACCTAGAATCGACGCTATTTTTAACCACAGACTTTGATGTGAAAGGAAGTAGGACGAACTAACTAGTATCAGATCCTTCTAATTTTACGAAACGCCTGCGTTTGTTTAAAGTAGTCATCAGAAAAATCAATGCCAACGTTTGCATGACTATGTTTCGAGTCTTTTTCTACCAAATAGATTCTCCATGATAGTTTTAAAACTTATCATTATCATTAAAGTTCAAGAACTCATTTTTTAACGATGAATAAAGAATTTCAACATCAGTATAAGTGACATTGAAGAGCCGTGAAGAATAATCTTTCTCTCTTTGTGTTAAGCCATTTTAATGAACAACTCGATAAACTATCAAATTCTGGAGTCAATTACATTTAATTACTCTTATCTATCATTGAAATTTTATTTTTATTAAAAAATATGCCTTCTTCTCAATCATTGCAAACATTTGCATATAGTAGCAGGTACTTTAAGAAAAGTTTGTTTTAGTTGCAAGTTCGTTTGCAACTAGAGGTGTCAGGTTAGCATTAAAAGTGAAAATAATACATTGCTTTATTTCTCCAGGAAAGTTGATGGATAATAAATCTTTAGAATTAAAAGTAATATCGGTGTTACGAATGATAAATTAGTGAATAAATTCGCATTAAGTATTTTCTTTACCATAATACGCCAATGCATTATTTTCATTTTTAATGTTAACCTGACACCTCTATTTGCAACACTAGTGAGTTGCTCTTTCAATAATGTCACCTGGAGAAATGAAAAGATTTGTATTTCTTTTAAAAACGTAAATAATTTCTCAAACTAAGCGTTATCAAAATTCAATTTTAAGTCTTGATTTTAAAAATAGCATTTGTTTTTGTAAAAATAAAACGTTGAAGTCGTAGCAATGTTCTGATCAATTTACTGACATATCAGTGAACGACATATGACGAGGATTGATGGCGACAGAAAACAGACTTTTTTGCTAATAGGTTGAACTTTATTTTTAGCTATTAAAATATTCTATTTAATATTAAAAGGTCGCTTCGGGCCTTACTAAAATTAGGCTAATCTAATTTACATATGAACGCAACTATAATCAAATATGTAGGTCAACTCATGCTCTCTGGAGTAGTTTTCTTAAATCCGCAGGTTTGATCAGTATAACATTCTCCATTCGATGTCAGATGAAATGTCTCCAGCGAGATGCTTGCAACTAACTAATGATTCTAACATAAAAATCAATTTCAACTGTAAGCCTAACTATCAAAACGGATGCTTAAGCAATTTAAATTCCAACTAATCTAAAACTTGATACATGCAGTTGAAACTTATAAAGAAGTGACATAAAACATCACAGGTCATTCTTATTTAAAATTTCAAGTAGATGAAACATGTTTTTTTCGCATTCACTCTAATCGATTAGAAAACATCTAGTGTCTATAGCTTACATTCGATTGATTAAGACCTGTATAAAGAAATATAATTGAATCTGGAAGTCGATCATTCGCGCAAAGTTCATCAAATTGTTTCACACAATTTTCACGAATATTCTAAATTATTCTAATAGAAATTAAAATATTCGAAATATACGAAAACAAACTGTTGAACGATGTGATAGTTTTTCTTCAGCTATGGTTATTATTTTTTGAGGTAATCGTATTCGATCAATATCTAAGCCAAAATCCGATGTATCAGAATCTAGTGGACTATCATTATTATCAAATGGATTTGTTGATCTTTTTACGGAATAAGGTTCATCTTCAGGCTAGAAAATAAAAATAAATTTTCTGTTTTCTTTCTTTATTAGTACATCTACTTTTGTTTCGCTTGCAATTTTGAGTACTTGTAATTGTTCAACAGGTGTAAAACCTGGTTTAGGTACAGATTCAATACTCCATTGATCAACAGGTATTGTACTATCACTCATGTCTGATGGTGGATCGTCTTCTTCTTCAATATCTGACTGACGGTTCAATTTAGATTTAGCATGTGGATGATTTGAATTTAATATATTTGTTTCTGTCATTGTTGCTATTGTACTTGGAGTTTTATTTAGAGTGGTTGATGGGACACTTTTGCGTTTAAACATTTGAATCAATTTATTTCTTATAATATTTGGATTAAATTTTTGTTTGTTTTTACTAATAAATTCTAAATCACTATCTTCAAGTTCGGAATTTAATTCTTCTTCTTCAACATATTCATCATCATCGTTGAATGATTTATCTAATAAATGCACACATGAATAAACTAACAATAGAACAGTCAATCCTATCTCACCAAACTGATTTTTTATTGATAATGGATTTGATATTAATCCAAGTTCTGGATGTGCCATAGTTTCAGATACATTTGGTATTGTACTTGATAAAGAAACTATTGATACATAGCCAACGGAATATTTTTCAGTTTTCATCGTCGAATATTCGTCTTGATTCGTTGAACGTAGTTGTAGTTGTTTAGATTTTTCATTTGTATTTAAATATAAATGTAGATTCATACTTTGTGGATGTTGAATGACCTATATATTGAAAATTGTTTACAATTCGAAGTTAATCAGATGCAATAGAAATGTGACTGTCGAAAGGACGAGAGTGATAAATGGAATAGTATATTTTCTGAGATAGGCAATAGCTGAACAAATAATTAGTGTTCATTAGCATAAAAGCAAACTCTGCATGATGTAGCCACAGAAAAAGAAGACAACAGCTCTGGAATGTAATATTAATATTCATCTGCTGACTGAATTTTGTTTAGCAAAATAAAATTTATTTTTATTAGGCTGCAGAAATTCATATTGAATATATATTTCAATCAGTTGATTGTTCTTCATACAGATCAAAACGAAAGTTTTATAACAGATAGAACTGTTTTCAAATGTCAGTCTTTATTGCTACTAATCAATAGTTTTACTTGTATTTCTATTGAAGCATGCATACTTTCAGTTTTCATCTATATCTTGTGTACAATCGGATACAACTTACTTGATCCAAATTAACTTCGCCTTTTGCTAACGTTTTGTAACCAATCATAGGTCGATTTTTTCTTCGTTGAATATATATCTGAACTTGATTTATATCCCGTTTAAAATAATGAGGATACTAAAACCAAGAAAAGTATTTCACACTTTTGTTTTTAAATTAAAAAGAATCTCACGAACAGTTATGAAATATTGTAGATTGACAGGTGTATCTAACATTCCATCTTGTTGAAGAGGAATTTCACAACAACGAAATGTTCGTTTATTACTCTAATTAATAGAAGAAATACTATTTGTAAGAAAAGCTACTTTCATTTTACTTGAATTTTTACTGCAACAACAATTGTATTTAAATCACCGTTATCAATCAATCGATTGATTACTAGACGTACAATACTGAATTTACACACTCTAATCAAACACAAAAAAATAAATAATTCAATAATATTTATTTAATCTACCTTGGTATACATGTTGAACTATTATCAATCTCTAATTGAGCATATGCCATTAAAGTCGTGGCCGTTTTCGTTGATGGTAATGTTTGTACATTTGTATTTGATCGTAAATTTTTTTCAGCCATTTGTAAATAGAAACTAGGACATACGACAAAAAAAAAGGGTGATTGTATTTCGGCTATCAGCTAAGCGCTACTGTCAATGGCAGTAAACTCTTATCGAGTAGCGATTAATTATCAATTGGCTGTTGAATAGGAGCAAGAGAGAGAGAAAAATGTTCTTTTCTTCATTCGTTCGAGAGCAACATACAAATTATATGTAGTCATTTTAGATCTTCGTATTCTTATGGTTCATTGGAGTGATACATTTTGGGGAGAAGGAAATCGAGGTTATGAAGTGTTATCAACAAATGTAAAAAATGGTGGCATAGCAATTGAAGAATTTCAACGATTTCTCAATGAAAAGTATGCTAGAAATATTCGTATCGTAATTTTCTTTTTTTTTTCGTTTGTTTTTCTTTCTGTTGTCTAGTTTACAATATGAATCAGTATATTGTAAAAATCTATCTCGTTTACAAGCGCAACTATTAAAAGTTCAACATGTCGGTACATTTACACCAATATGGCATTCTATAAGAGAATTATTAGAAAAAATCGCTTTAGCACATTCAACAACAGTTACACATTATCAAGATCTTTTGCGTGAGATACATAATTATCATGATTCATATCTAAAAAAAGTTAAAACATCAATACAAAAAGATCCTGATATAGCGCGTACTGCTGAACTCATATCGCAATTAAATAATGCTTTAAATACAGTAAATAAAGCCAAAGAACAATATCATACCATTGGATTAGATTATGAACGTACTAAACGTTCAGGAAGTAATTTAACCAATGGTTCATCAACACCCATACCACAAGATAATAGCACATCAAGCAGTATTGCACAAACAGCATTAAATACATTAACATCGTCATCAAGGCAAATTGAACGTTTAGAAAAAAAATTTCGTCAATCACATGATGAATATAAAGCATCAATAGAAAAATATAATTTATTAAGAAATGATTTTGAAAAACGTTTTTATGATGGTAAATTAATTGGATTTTTTATTTTGAAAGTTGTTTTTTACCTTTCTTTTGAAAGTAAACAGATATCCTTCGATTGCGATTACACTTAAGCATTTTATCTCTTACCCCAAGGTCAAATATCAATAGTATTGAAATGTTAAAGAAAGATTCGCATTGTTGTTTTCAATGCATCCTTCACGCCAAGTGTACTTTTGTTTAATGACAAAGAATAAATATCGATCCATTTTCTCGTGAAAATATTCTCAAAATTTAAGATCTTCAATGTTTTTACATACGCATGATCCTCATTATAAATATTAACTTTTTCCAACAGATGATTGGGTTTACTGCAATAATACCTCGAGAAAAACTAGCAATTATATATATTTAGATTAAAATTTTTCGTTATAAATGTGTTTCTCTTTCTTTCTTTCTTTCTTTCTTTTTATACGTGATGCGAATAAGATTTCAAACATATGATTAGTATCAAAAAATAAGTCAAGCGAAATTTCCTCGATATAATCTATTAATGAAAAGAATTTTTCTGGTTATTTTTTAGTAGATTTTTCTTTAGTTCTTAATAAAAACTAGTTGTTGCTAATAATTATATTTAAATTTGTCTGACTAAGAAAATCTCTTTCATTACAAGTTACAATGAGAAGAACATAGAAGTATTGCTAATTAATGACAGATGAGAAGAAAAACAAACTATTATATGTCTCGTTGGAATTCATGGTGTGTTTCGTTTTCTTAAATTATTCCCTTTGAATTAAATAATAAAATGATAGTGTACTTAAATTTTTTTTCTCGTTTAAGCTTGTACGAAGTTTCAAGATTTTGAAGGTGAACATGTTGAGAAAATGCTTATATTTTCAATTAATTATTCTGAAATACTCAAACGTAGTAATGAACAAACAGGTTTAGCACAAAATGAATTCGGTGAAAAAATTAAACAATTTACTGGTGCTGATCTTGTTGAAACATTTGTCGAACAGAAAAAAACAGGTGTAGAAAGACCGGGTAAATTTTCTATTTTCTTATCTATGAGTCAAATTATTTTTTTTATCACATTTTTTTGTTACATTCATATATACATATAGTTCCTGTACAATTTGAAGAAATTGATAACATTAAAACATCATTGAATCTAACAAATTCTACAAATCTTCCTTCGTCAATTACACCTGATTTATCAGGTTGTCCTTCGGATGAATTAATTATATTTGACCAACCAGAAGCAAATTTATCATCGTTTCAAGCACATTTTCCGGTGTCTTCGCCTAGTAATTCAGCTGGATGGCTATCAACAACTAATATGAAAAAAAGTGATAGCAATCGAGGTAAACTATTATTTTTTTTCGCTCGTTGTCTATTCTGTCAATAAATTCAGTTCATCATCATCATTATAATTTTCTACATGGTTTGTATGACACCTATAGGAACAAAAATCTGTATAACAAATACTGTACGACAGAGAGCAATACATAATCATCATGTCAGCAAAATAAAATTTTATTTATTCGCAGACACGCAAGTCTTTTTCTGCTATACGACAACAGTTCTTCTTTTGACTATTTATATAATTAGCGCGCGCTTTGCTTTATAATAATTTAGGAAGAATACAATGAACAATTTTTTTAATTTAAATTTCGACAAATTTATTTTGTTTTTTTGTGACATCGAATTCATTATTCTTTTCAGCATTGGCATCAAGCTCTTCCATCGGTCATCAATATTCTTCAAATAACAATCAAACAATGTCTCCAATATTTAATGCAACACCAATGAGTCTTAGTAATCCAAATAATCCATTAGCTCGTTTACAAGAAAATACCAATGAACAAGCATCAAATCCATTTGATGTAAAAATACGACGACCAGCATTTAAAGGTACGTTATTCTATTGACAGAAGAGAATTTGCCAACATATTAAAAGAATTGAATTATTTTCGTTGGAAACTAACAAATATTTATTTAAGTAGGTTTTTGGCCATCAAACCGAAAGGAAAGAAAAGAGAAAAAAACAGATAAGAAATCATCAAATAATTCTAAACCAAGTAAAATCGCTCAAGTGCAACACCAACATGATGAAACAAGTTCAGTTAATTCACAAAATTCAGCGTTTGAAACAAATGATTTTAATAAAATGATGGGTAGTATGGATGGTCTTGATCAAATATCATTAAATAGAACGATAAACAAATGTGTACGAAAACCAATTAAATATATTTTTCTTGATGATTACTTGTTTTTAGCCAACACCGGAACCATACACTCAATCAAGTCCAACTATTCCCAATAGTGGTATCAATCGTCCGGTGTGTCAAAGTACAATACCATTTTCGACGTCTACTATGCGTAAATCTACCAGCTCAAGTGGTTCGAGTGATGATGATGATGACGATGATGATTTTCTAAGAACAAAAATAAAATTTAAAATAAATCCAACAGCACAAAAAATACCTATAACAGAAGAAAACGATGAAACAGATATCATGAATGCTATGCGTCGTGTGGATAAAACTATTGGACATTTTGCAACATATTCACGAGCAGCAGGAAGAGTAAGTTCAATTTAAATAAAATTTAACATTTAAAATGATTTATTCATTTTTTTCAAAACTGATTCTTTTATAGGAAGAGGTAAAAAAAAAGAAGGTTTTATTGTTCTATCTAATCGCTGTGTTGTTGCATGAAAAATACTAAAATTATTGTTTTTTTGTCAGGAATTTTAAAATTCAATTAATAATTTTATTTTTAAAATTTTACATAGAGAGTTCCAGATCTGAGTAAATCCATATCCAGTGGACAAATTGGTGCCAGACCACTACCACCGCCACCACCACCTCCAGCACGTCCTACAACGTAATAGAAAATATTTTTATTTTTCAATAATTTGTGTTTATTAATTAATTAAGAATGTTGTCAACAAGTATCACAACAGACAGTCTTGGTCAATCATCGGGTTTGCCATTATTGACACCACGTGCATCATTAACAAATACATATGATGTATTTGAAACACGTTCGAAATCAATGAGTGTTTCGAATCATCAAGAAAATATACCACCTGTTCCAGCTCATCCAAGATCAATGACTCTGGATACAGAAAGTATGAAATTTCATAGATTTTCTTTTTGTTTTTACACTCTACAAAAATGATTTAGTTTTAAAAAAAGCTGTTATTTGTATTTTGATGGATTTATTTATTTGAAAGCTAAATTGAACAAATGATTTCTCTCCTTATGACGATTGAACACTATTTTAAACAAGCGATGGGATGAATGTACTTAAAAATCATCTATAATTTAGTTGATAATCGTAGAAAGTTTAGTTCGGTATTACTTTAGAACTTTTCAAAGCATTCAAAAATCTCAAAATAAATAAAAAACACAAGTGACATTAAATACATAGCATGCATAATTTTTTCAGAAAAATATCTTAGCTTGAGCACGATAGAAAATCTGGAATCTTCCTTTTCTTTGCAATAAAAAAACTGCTCTCCACATATTTTCTTTGAACATTTCTTTTTTGGTTACTAATTTTTAGATAAACCAACAGCATCTATATCATCGACGGAGGACGATACTGAAGTAGCAAATTCATTTCCTATTGACAGTCCAACAAGTAAAACAGCACCATTTGCAGTTCCAAGGCCGCCTCGAACTCGTCAATCACTTGTAAGATTTCACATTCTTTATTGTTATTTTTTTCTCATACGCTTTCTAACTTTTGAAGTATAATCACTTTTCTTCTTTTCATCATTCATCTGAAAATAACCTATCTATTATTCAAACACATGAATATGAAATTAACGTCAAAAAATCAAAATCAGATTTAATTAATTTGAAACCTAATAATCCCACATGTCAAGAAAAATATTCATCAAAGAGAACCCTTCAAATCCGATTGTCAATTATTGCATGCATTCGTTCCATTTGGAAAAGCTCAACAAAACAAACGCCAATAGTTTTTCGAAAAATTCATCCACTATCAACTAGACATAAAACACCAATAGCAGCAAAAACAAGTTTTGGTTTTTCAACAAATCAAACTCAAGAAATGCTAACAAATAATTTAATGAAACATCCATCAATTTATTCATTTCATACAGCTCGTGAAAGTTTATCTAGTCTATCATTGAATTATACAGAATCGCTTCGTAAATTTTTCTCACATATAATGATAAAAAAATGATTTTCCTAATATCATAGATTCATTAAATAATATTTCAATGAACAGTATTACTCTTAACATAGCTAATCATGATTCATCGGAAATTCTTCCTCGTCTTATACCTCCGCCGAATATAAAATTATGGTGTCGTACCCGCAAATATAGTGATGAGGTTTTATAAATTGCTTTATGCAACATTATTTTTAAATTTCCATATAATCTTACTTGAATTAGACAGCTAAATAAAGAATCATGTCAAAGCGAAAAGTCACTTTTGAAGCGCAAAATTACTGGTTACTATATCCTATTGGAACTAGAAAAAATCTAGCTTGACTAATGTCACTACAACCTTCTTCTCGAGTTCAAATAATTTTACTGTGCTCATTCTATATTGACTTGAATGCGTAAAAAACATTTTTTTCGGCAATGGATTGAAGAAAAATCTGGTTTTTTTCAATTTATTATAGTGAAGCAGTGTTCTTAACATTAATATCACATCTTTCTATGAACAAAAACTACATTTAAAGTATCGCATTTTGCCCGTGTCTCTCATGTTCTATAACTTGTATAAAGTTATCGATAAAATAACTCAACTGCGAGACGAAAGATATATGAATCAACCCTGAAATTTCCTAGTTTCAATAGGACTTAAATACTGAGCGAAGTATTTTAGTGTTGAATTTAAGAAGATTTCTATTTGTTTTGCAATTCAGTTAAAAATGAATAAAATATTTCATCTGTTCATTAAATTTGATACGTTATATCTTTACTTCAGCAACAACAGCCCATGATAAGTTCAGTTGGTCCATCAATTGCAAATGGTCGCACAACACCATTTACTGGTCCAAATAATCAAAGTTTTTCTAATAGTTTAATGACATCCTTAGATCAAAGAATGTCTCCATTAACAATTGGTGTTAGCGATCAAATTCCTATAGCAGTTGCTTTTCAAGAAACCATTCACGTTATGATGTCGGGCGATGATCAAACAAAGTAATATGTTTGTTTTCGTTTTAAATTCTCATGCTGTTCGTTTTATCTTAGATGGAAAATTCGAATTCTTGGTGATATGCTTGTTTCATTTCCAGCTGCTATTTTAAATCTGCTTGTGAATCCTTCGCCGATATTAAATATATTAGAATTTCGTTTACAAAATTTAAATAAAGTAGAAAACATTATTGCAAATCCTCAATTAATTGCATTGTAAGTTTAATAAATAAGAGATACAAAATTTTTCTCAATTTAATTTCTACTGTTGAAATATAGAAATCAATCAGGAGAAGAATCATCTGATGGACCGACTTATTCCTTTAATATGTCAGCATTAAGTAATATTCTTCGTAATTTACAAGAAAAAAATCGTTCATTGCCTTTCTTTAATTTTGGTATACTTAAATATGAAGTGAGAATATTTTCTCTTATTTTATTTTATTCAATCTAAATCAAATTTTCTATCAAAGGTTAAACACACAGGAGTATTAAACATTCCAATACAAGTATCATCACAATGGACGCGTACATTTGATACGATATCAGTTAATATAAACTATCGTTTTAATAGTTCAGCTTTACCAGAATCAATTCGATTAGTGAATGATATTGTTACATTTTATACAGTAATAACAGATGGTCAACAAATAAATCAATCGGTACCAATGGCTGAATGGTAAACAATGTTTTTAATGTTTCTGCTTGTAATTCATATAATGTTCTTTATGAATAAATAGGTCATCAAACGAACATAAATTATTGTGGAAAGTGCCATATATCTTCGATGGATCAGGAACTCTTGCTGCAACTATAATGACAAGTCAGTCGACAACAGATGGTAGCGACAGTGATCAACAACAAAAGCCATTATCAGCATCATCAATTGTACATGTCCAATTTCTTGCTGAAAATGCATTATTTTCATCCATTAATTTTGAATTTGCATGTCGAGGGTATCGAGTATCATTATTAAAGAAGAAAATTTGTAGTGGTAAGTTTTCTTAATCCACTTAACATTAAAAGAAAATGATCTCCTATTGACATTCTCAAATTCTCTCTAATGAAATCTCTCATTGCTATTTTCATTCCAGGTAAATATCAATCAGAACCAGATCAAAGTGAACCATTACAATTCTTTAAACGACCATCACTAGATCAAAATCGTATGCCTTTATCAACATCACTTGTCGCCTAAATCTAATTGATGACTATCATTATAACCAATGCAATTCAATATAAAAGATTCGAATAATTTACTGCAGTCTTCTCTTTTGTTTCAGTCTTACCAAGTGTTAGATGAGTGTGCGACGTTAATGAACAGTCCACCTATTTTTTTGTTTGTTTGTTTGTTATCTTCAAGAGATATACACATTTATGTTTAGTCGATATCATTTATTATCTAGCCACAATTTTCTGTTTTTGGTGAGCAATCAAAAGAAAAATTAAGGAGAATCCAAGCGATATGTACATTTATTATAAATATATATTAAATCATTTATCATTGTGAACTTTCGTTTTATTTATGTCTATTAATCAGTAAAAGAAAAAAACAATTGACGAATATGAATTAAAAATCAATTCCATTTGCCATTTTTTCTTTTAATAATATAATATTTTCCAGCCATGTTTGACGAAAACGAAATTGATCTGGATAATGAATTAGTCGCATTGTTTCCAATAGAAACGAAACTTGAATAGGTGTATTCTAAGAGAAATTAAATTTAAATTGAGATTTTAAAATATTTTTATCTCTAGGCATAGACGTTTACTTTAGGTTTAATTTTGGAAACATCAAGAGTAAAATATATAGATACCGTTTGTCTTGGTATTGGCTGTCTTCTTGTTGGTATAGAATAGCGAACCTTTCAAAACATAGAATTGAAAAGTAAAAATCATGTTTGAAGAAAAATACTTTTATTTACTCGATAAATATAAAGATCATTAAATTCGAGAGATTTTTTTTCAAGAAAATCGATTGCATATAGCCAACATGCATCTTGGCCACCTGGTGTTGTTTTCCATTCCTTTAATAGATTTAACAATTATTATTTCAATGTTGTTGACATATTGTTTAAGTTCAAAAAAAAACAACTAACAATTCGTATAAAAATAAAATTATTTTATGATCATGATCATTTCAATATCTTTCATAATGTTGGGAACAGAAAAGATTGAAATAAACTACTATATTAATCTCGTGTAATAATAAATCGTGCTTAAAGTAGAGTTAATGCCATGATATATCTTCTATTGAAACTAGCAAGTTCAAATAAAGATCGATACAATCATAATCGTTTTGTTTGTTACTATTAACATAAGATACTGTCAATCTCAAACAACAACGAATTTCTTTTTTTTTATCTATCACGCTTCATATTTTGTAGAGAAACTAAATACTATTCAAAAACGATAACATGAGAAATCAATATTCCTCGTACATTTTTATTTTTTTTGTTTTTCATATACGTAACTATGATTTTTATCTTAGTCAATGATGTGTCCAAAAACTAACTACAGGAGACTTTTGAAACATAAATAAACTACTACTGAATTTATTTTTCTGTCGTAATAAAATTATCCTGATTCATAACATTAGAATTCTAACGTTACTATCGTATACTCTTATGAATGAAATACTAAATTTTGCATTGAAAGCTTTAGCTTTCCTAGAAATCAATTTCTACAGAACTACGAGTAAACTACTCAAAGTATTCGGTACAGAAAAAAGATAGAAATTTTATTATTTTCTCATACGTCTGCTGTACAAAAAACTCGCTCTCTGTCGTAAGATTATGAACATTTTAATTTATTGTCATTCCTAAGCTGGAAAGGCACGTAGTAGCTCTAGGATAGTATTTGTTTACTAAGAGTTTTTATCAGAACTTTTTTTTTGCTTTCAACAGCCTTTACATACTTTTTCAATATATTCAGTAATTTTTTCTATACCAACATGCTCATTTGTAAATTCAGCAATAGTTGGCCATTTTACTGCTGTTTGTCCTTGTCTCTTATTTTGCCATTCATCATTTTCTAGCTCTATGAAACGTCCTCGTTGTTGATTATTTTTATTTTCGTCTAAATTTGAATCCAATGCATTATTTATATGAAGTAATGATTGACTAAGAACTTGATCGACAATACGTTGTGCTGCAAAGGCAAGTAAATCATAATCTTCAGATTGTACTAACGACTATGAAAATAGAAGAATAAACAAGACAAATGCTAAGTCATATGCGTAACGTACAAGAGGTAAATCAGCATTGTTATTAGCCATGGCCAAAGATATGAATTTGACAGTCAATACAATTTCTACAAGTTAAATTTAGTTGTCATGACAAATCATTTTCTTTTCATAGCTATGATTCGTCAATTATTGACCAATGATATCGTTTTGCTTGCCATCCATGAAATAGCATTGTTTATATTTTTACTCTGGTTCGGTTCGGTCCTGTTCTTGTCCTTGGTCGTATTGAAACTATATATTGTTCATTTTATTGTAGAAATATATGGAACAATTCGTCCACTTTTTTTTCAATTTTCAAACATCATTTTGTAATCGTTCAGTTTGAAATGTTTGGTAATACACAACAGAGTTTGTGGAGAACAGAACATTCCGTACTTGGTCAGTAAGATTTTTCGTTTTCTTCAGCATAAGAATTTATTTATTATTCTTTTTGCTATTGTAAGACCTACTTTCGACGCTCAATATCCTTCTCTTTCATCATACATATCGACAAAATCAATTATAAAAATAACTCCTCAATGTCAAAAAAGAAAGATCAAGAAAAGTTTACTGAATATTCAATAAATACTGATGATGCTTGGGAAATAGACGATAACACAATGACATTAAAAATACTCGATAGTAACTTCAATGATAATTCAGAAATTTGCAAACAGGTATATAATTTGTTTTTAGTAAAAGTCTAAAGCAAACATTTTTTTTCTTAAATTGTAGACAAGTGCAGAAGTATCGCCAAGAACTGCTCATCAACAACAATCAAGTACTGTTGTACTTGACTCATCAGCTGGTAATGAAATACTGAATGATATATTTTTGATAATTAATTCTCAAACTGTCTGCTAAAAAAATATAGTAAAAATATGAAGAAATCGTCAACGAGTTTCTTCCTACTTGTAATTGAATAAGAATAAGCTCATTTTCCGTTACACTACGGAATGAATAATCTGGATAAATTTTTGTCGATGTTCTTTTATCAACCTTGAACTGGGATCATTAAATAAAACTATAAAAAAAAAAAGAACTAATCTTGTCAATAAACTCAACAATAATGTACTACTGATATGAAAAAGATTGGTAGCAAAAATTTATCTAGTTGCTAAGGTCAAAATTACTGCTCATAATGATTTCAGATGCGTCTAGGCAGAATACATAATGAAAGATAATTTATTTTCCTGCTGTTCGAACTCTTTCACCTATCAAGATAAATTACATTGCTGATGAATGGCAATAACAATACTCATTAAAAATAAATCTACAAACTGAAACGAGATCAAAATGTTTCTTAAATCAAATATTTTATTTTAGTTCGAAAACCAACCGATGTAAATTCAAGCACATATCCAGGCATTATTCGGCGCGTTGATGATAATCAAAATTCGAAAGCATCGCTATCCGTTCGATATAGAAATAATTCAAATCCGAATTCATTTTCGACAGCTAATATTACAAGATCTAATTTAGCTACAATTATGGATGTCGATCAACCGAAGCAAAATAAATTTAAAGAAATATTTGATCAATCTACGATTGATCTTGGTAGAAATAAAATATTTTTTCTTTTTTTTTGTACTGTAAAACTAAAATTTATTATTTCTTTAGAAAAACTACGTAAAGCCAGTTGGAATGGAATTTCCAAACGATATCGTGCACAAGCATGGAAATTACTTTGTGTATGTTATATTTATAAATTTCTTCAGTTTATTCGTTTTATTTTCAGGGTTATCTACCACCAAAAGTCGAACGGCAAGAAGATACATTAACAAGAAAACGTGATGAATATTGGTCATACGTCAGTCAATATTATCATACACGTACTGATAAGGAGCATCAAGATACATTTAGACAGGTTCGTTTTGTTTTTATATAAATAGCATATGAACATTTTCAATTAATAATCCTGCCAATAATATTTTCATTAACTCTTGAAAATTACAGAGACTTCTGTTTAATGTTCTATTTAGTATAAAGCACAGAGAATGAGAAAATCGATTTTGATCAACCAGAACTCATGAATTATGCATTGCATAATTTATATCTTTATATTGCTCTATAGACGCGTTAATCCACGTGAGAAATAGCAATCCTCAAAGGAGAGAGAGCAAACTGCCATTTCCAGCATGCGCAAAAAAAAGAGAAATAAAGAAACAATTACTCGTGTTGGAACCGAATGATGTTATATATATATATTCAGAATCTATTTTGACAGAAACAAGATACAGAACTATAGTTTTCATCGATGGATAGAAGAACCGCTGATGATGAGTAGATTCACATAGAACAAACTTTGAACTATGTTTCTTGAAGGTTTGTGTTAATTTTTTTCAAAAAAAGACTCCAGTTTTCATCAAAGTCAATTAAAACAAAAGGAATGGCTTCTTTGGATTTTAAATTCGACGAAAGATGAGAATAAAATAACTGTAATTTCGGAATAAATATAATCACCAAACTTGAATTTTGTACGAATTCATAGGTTTTCGAACAGCAGTTATTATTAACTTCTAAATATAAAATATTTAATATAGTGATCGGATGTAAGATACTAGTTTCTGAAAAGCTTAAAAGAAAATTTTCAGCTACATATATTGTATCGGCCTCTACACCTGTCTGTTAAAATTTGATTTACAAATTTTCATGGATCCTATTCATTAGAAAGTTCATGGATCTTACATATATAATATATTCTTTTGAGTTTGTATAATTAGAGAGGCTATAGGGTTTGTTCTTGTTTTAAAAGCGAGGAAATTCTTTTGTTTCACATTTTTGCTCATGGAGTTTGCTTGTTGTAAGAAGAAATATGAATGTTTCCTATCGACGACAAATTTTCCATCGCCTGTCCGAATAGAAATGGTAAAGCATGCTATTGCACATAAGATGTCTTTGTCTGTCATAAGAGAATACAAGAAAATATTTGTATGCAAACTTGTACAACATTACGATTAAATTCTTGAGACATTCCTATTAAGTGGCATACTTTTGAAGATCATAGATCTATTCTCACCGGTATCAGTTTGGTACTGCGTTTTTATTCGTCTAGCTTTTTTCTTCTTCAAAACTTCAGACCGAAGATATGAATCAGCTTGTTAGAAAAACAAATTACTTAGATAAAAATATGATCTCTGTGGAATTTCAAAACATCTATTTATAATGAATCTATATTTAGATCCATATAGACATTCCCCGAATGTCTCCATTAATGGCAATATTCCAACAAGTTGTTGTTCAGGAACTCTTTGAACGTATTTTATTTATTTGGGCTATTCGTCATCCAGCTAGTGGCTATGTTCAAGGTATCAACGATCTTTTATTACCGTTTTTTGCTGTTTTTCTCGTCGAATTCATCGATAATGGTAAGCTAATCATAATAATACTGTTTGATAGGAAAAATAAATAAAAATTATAGATGTTGATATTGAACATTTTAATATTGATTCGTTATCGGAATCAAATCGACGTATTATCGAAGCAGATAGCTATTGGGCTACATCCTATTTACTTGAAGGTATTCAAGATAATTATACATTTGCTCAACCTGGTATTCAATATAAAGTTCGAACATTAGAAGAACTTATTAAACGTATTGATGGTTTGTGAAAGAATAATTCCTTTGCCTAATCGTTTTTTAATTTAAACAAAAATTTTATCTCTAGAACCACTTTATCGACACTTAAAAAATCAAAATATCGAGTTTTTACAATTTGCTTTTCGTTGGATGAACAATTTGCTCATGAGAGAACTACCTGTTAGATGTACTATTCGTCTTTGGGATACTTATCTTGTATGTAGAATTTTCGTTTTACACTAAATTACTAATAACAAAGCTAAATTCTATTTGAATTTATTTTTATTGTTTAGGCTGAACAAGATGGTTTTTCTCACTTTCATTTGTATATATGTGCAGCGTTTCTTATCCGTTTTTCAAAAGATCTTTTACGAGAAAAAGATTTCCATGTAAAATAAGAACTTAATACATTCTATATTTATATATGTACACTATTTTATGAATTTCTTCAGGGCCTATTGCTTCTTCTTCAAAATTTACCTACACAATCATGGACAAGTAATGATATTAGTATATTAACGGCTGAAGCATATCAATTAAAGGTTATGTTTGCCAATGCTCCACGACATTTATCAAATTCATGAACATTTTTCAACATGTTTTTGATTCAATTACTATAATTATCTTTCTCTTATATCATTGATCTCTTCTTAGTTCATTAATCTGAAAATCTCGAGTGATATATTTTCTTTCTCTTTTGTTGAATAGAACATGATTAAGATGATTCTTTTTCTTTGTTATAGACCATGTATTGCAATAGTTGATTGTTATGTTATACTATTAGTATTAATTCTTTTCTATCTACACATACATTAATTGGTCACAAAAACTCTATATTTAGTTGTTTATTGTTTTTTTTTGCATCAAGATAGTAATAAGTTTAAAGTATGTTAGTGATATGTCTCAAAACAAAGGCAGATAGGTTTTTGTTTAATAGAATGAACACTGTTCTTCATGTATTGAACGGCAGTCTATAAATGATAAAACATCTAGTGATGTGAGAAGTTCTCGTAGTAATAAATCGTTTTTGAGTTGTTTGAATAGATAGTTCATATTAAGATAAGAGGAAGCCTAAAAGGTTCATGTTGACGAATCTTTCTTCTTGACATCGTATGATGATTGCAGGAAAGTTTTTAATAGAATAGCATTGTTCTTCTCAGATTATCTTCGAAGATGACTATCGAGTTTGAATTTCATATGAATGAAGTTCTCAATGGGACCAGTTTACTGAGAAAATGTTGTATTGTTCTTATCATTATATCGGAGAATAGAGGATGATATAAGATTGAATCATTTCTGATTAAAATTAATTCCATAGAGAACCTTATACGTCGAAAATTTGAATTCAAAAGTAGATCATGAAAGTGATGCGATGAAGATTACATAATTCTGTTGAAAAACTTAAATTAATTGCCAAGAAAACCAGAGATAACTGAATTACTTTTGACTATATCTAGTGCCAATAGGATCTATCTGATGAAGCAAGACTAATCTAGAAGAAAAAAAAATCGATTTCTTACTTTACTAGGTTCTCTCATGCGACTAATAGACATCTATAAAAAAAAGCGACCATTTTTAGATGCAGTTTCGTTTAGCACAAAATTAAACGCTGATTCGGAATAAAAAATTAGATAATTATCTATTTTAGTTTATTTACTCAACACATAGAATCACGTACCAATTACTTCTCCTATTTATAATATATGATGTTGAAATTTATTCATATGAAATTGTCCCTATCGTTTTAGCTCATGTCATTCAACGGAAATATCAGTCTTTTTTCGAAATGTTTGATTTCTTTCTTCGAGTAATACTTGAAAATTTTGAGTTCATGTTAGAGAAGTGTGATCTCCATCAGAGGAAATGAAAACATCTTTTTATATACGTATATGAGGCCACCGGATGAAATAATCTGTCAAAGAAAAGGATAAAATTTATAAATTTATATATTGATTAATAAATGACTAATTTATTATACAAAATAAGTCATCATGTAAATATTATTATGACGATATTTGATCTCACGATAGGAAACAAAAAAGAAAAAGATTAGCCACGAGAAATTATTTGACTATAGATGTAAACTGGAAAAAGTCATTCATTAAGTCGATGTCAACAATGAAAGGAGAATAGAGAGTGAAAGACAAATGAGCTCCCTCTCAATGTAATCTTATTTCCTGTTGTAGAAAAGAAAAGAAAAGAAAAACCGATCACCCGTTTTGTTCTCTGAAATAAATAAATAAAAAGAAAAAATCTCATAGAGAGGAAAAAAAACATCGTGTTCATTCTATTGAATCGCTCATAGGATATTTCTTTAGATTATTTTAGATTATATATTATTCTAACATATAAAATCGTTATAAAAATGTCCAACGTTGGCAACAAACAAAAATTAATTGAACAATTACGTGCTGAAGCAAATTTCGAACGTATTAAAGTATCAGTGGCATGTAAAGATTTAATTAAATATTGTCAAGACCACGAAAGTGGAGATGTCTTAGTTGTTGGTTGGGATAAATTTGATATAGATAATCCGTATAAAGAAAAACACCCGTGTGTCATGTTATGACTACGATATGTCGTGTTATTCGTTTATTTAATCAAACATATTCTTAATATTCTTATGCGTTATCGGCATCGTCATTGAAACTGAATAAAAATATCTCATTGTCATTTTCTTTTCGTGCAATTTTTGTGTCTATATATTATCGCATGCTTTGTCCTTTTTTTGCATCTATGAGTGTTGTGGATTATTCATGAGAATTTATTGCCTTTGTTAGTTTTATATCAAAATTATGAATATCAATAAACAGAATGAGAAATTTAATATCAATGACTAAATATAAATTTATTAGCTGCTCAGGTAAGGGTATACTATTTTAAATTAGTCTATAAACCTATGAGTAAAGGACGTTCAGATGAAGAGCAGAGCGGGATCAAAATCATCTGAACATTAGGATATTGAGAAGAATTTTTTAATCACTTTTTATTTATATAGATTTCAAGTAAACTAGATTTTAAGTGTATTGCATTCGAAAAATCATCTAAAAATAAATGCCGGCTACTAATTGTCTAATAGAATAATCAAAGTAAGCAATGTTTTTAAGGAAATCGATGCTTTCTAAAGTAGTTATGAGTACTGAAAGTTTAAGGTACACCAAAGTGTTAGTTAAAGTCAAATACATCGAAATTAAAAAGCAATTGAAATATATTGACATCTAATGTCAGATCCTGACAACTTTCCCTTTAGACTCGGATAATGCCAGACTGGATAAGAGATTATTTCTTTTTAAACTCCTTTAGTCTGTAGCAAAACGTCTTAGTATCTTCATTGATGGTTACAATGCCACCCATACCAGTGTTCTCACACAGTTCCCTATCCGAAAATTTGAATCTAATATCAATTTGACGACAAATAAAAGTTGTCATCGAAGCTACTTGTACAAGTTGACATTGATCTAATCTAAACCGAGCAGTCTACATTGATTTCATAGAATGTGAGATTCAGCATAAATACGTATATGTACATTTATGATTGTTCCTGATAAAAGTGGTTGTTCTTTTTTACGTTTCTCTCTCTTTATCTGTTTCCTATCATGCACAGAATATGCCGTAGATTTTTTTTTCTACAATACGCATGTCTTATTAAAGTAGATATTCATTTGAAATTTACACTTTCTAAAGCAAATCTTACTATATCACATTACATGAAAATATTTAGCTTTGAATGAAGCCTACATGATTAAAAGTTTTTAACAAATATTTTATCATGCATGTAAATATTATTATGATAATATGATACAATAGTAATGAAGAAAGATACCTAGAGACTGAATCGGTGTGTTTGACAAGTAATGGCATAGCTATGTGTAAAATGACATATTTTCTGTCTTATTGAATTAGTTAGGAATAAATAAAAATTAATCAAATGAATGCATAAAATTGTATTGATGTCAATAAATGTCCAATGGATATATCAATCAAAAGCATGCCGACAAAAAGATTCGATAATAAAATAAGGTTTTGTTTTAATTCAGATCATAATATTTATGTTTCTTTTTATTACAACATATAGAATTAAATATATAAGATAAAATTACTTATTGGACGTTCGCCATCTGTTTCAATTATTTGAACCAATAATAATTAAATTTTATCTTACTTATTGTAAATGATAAATCAATTATAGAAAAATCATGTCAGAAAATTTTATTGTTGTGTACTCAAAGAATGAGTACACTCTAGAATCGGTCAGTGTGTCCGTCCGGCCGTAGGCACGATAACTTGCGAAAGGAGAGTCAGACCGCGATGAAATTTTCCACACAGTTCAATCTCATGAATATCTAGGTCCAGTTTGAAGATGAGAAGGATCCGTCAAGAAATGGCTGAGTTATCAAAAAAATTGTCATTTTTGATCAGACCATCCCTGAGGGGAAGTACAGGGATTTTTCAAAAGCAACTTTTTTTCTCAGAATTATCCACAACATATATAAATCAACTCAGGTTTTAACGCTGATTCTAAACTTGATATTATTTTTGAACTAAGTAGTAGATTTCTAACGAAACATCGCCTGAAAAACGTCTCAAAATGCACAAAAAGCTGCATCCAGAAATCAAATTGCCTAGTTTCTCATGATAATTTTGATGTTCAGACATTCTAGAATGACTCATATATCCCATGCACTTTTTGCAGTACACATAACTTTCGGATGAAATCCGAAGTTTCCACATTTTTTTATTATAAATTCCATGCTATACGTAAGCATAGAAGAAACATTCGTTTAGTTACAATTTTAGATGCAGCAACTGATTAAATGATCGTTTTCTGAATCTTCTGTTGTTGAATTTACTACTATCTTAATTAAAACACATCACTCCATCATAGACATATAGGGGGAATGAAAACAAGTGATTTTATTTTAATGATGTTTTGTAATAGGCTCACAAAAAAATGCTAGTTGGTGATTAAACGTAAGGATACATATTTTTCAAAAGAAAACAAATATTATTCATAGTCAATATTAGTAATAAGGATGTGATGATAGTGAAATATAAGTTAGTTCTGATGATTCACTATCAATTATATTTACACTGGCTGATTTAGCTATTATAATCTTCTATCATAGAACATAATTAGAAGATTTCAAATGAAAAACAAAATCCATTCAAGAAGCTACTATTGATGTTAGACGGCGTGTAGTATTGTCCTAGTAGAGAGTAACTACTTTTTCGGTACTAAAATCTAGAATAAAACATAGTTGATCAATTCATTAATTTAAAAAAAAAACTTGACTCGTAGTTACATTGCTTTGAGCTGCAGACTGTTTAAAAAGAACCGCAAGAAAGAATTACTTAATTATCGAATTTTTATTACACATCAAGATGTCACTTTGAAAATATTTGCTTTTTCTTTAAGACCATTAATATATTGATGAACTGACTCACGAATCAAATATTGTAAAGTATTAAATTCTCTTACAAGTTGTATGAAATGTTCATAAATTGAAAGTTCAAAATCTTTTTCAATTTGTGAAAAAGCGGAAAATTTGGCTAAAACATAAATTTAATAAGGTACATATCTACTGTAAGTTAATTTCAATCAATAAGAAATTACTCTAGAGGTTTCTGTATTAGTGCAACACATTTTTCGATGGGCTTAAGTAGCAATTCACTAAAATCTTCAGTAAGTTTACGTGAATATTCATAGATTTCGCATTGTTTTACTTCTTAGCTCAAGCAAAGAAGATTTTTGTTTAGTAATATTCACTCTGTTAAACGTATCCAATCAATTCGTGAGATCATTATTATTCTCTTGTTTTATTATATTTTCAATATTGACTTTTGATTTTGCTTCATTTTTAACAACTGATTTTACATGAACGTTTTCAGTCGATGTTGATTGCATTTTAGATGATTCGATGTAGTTCATTGAAACAGAAAAGCTTAAATATGACACCACTGATTTAATTCGAATGTATGATGACACAAGTAAAATATTTGCAATAGATATGTAAGCATGCAGGTGAGCAAATAGTCTAACTACGCAATAGATATTCCCGTAACATGCTTTTATATGTGCCTTGAATGCGTGCTATCTTTGTTTCGAACGAGGCCTAGTCTATGTCATGCTCGATAATAGAGTGATCTATTATTATGCTTGTGTCGTGCAATAATGAAGGCTTATCTTATGAAAATATCTGTAGATAGTAAATGCCTTTTCTATTGCACTTGAACATAATAAGAAATGCATATACGTCTGTAGGCACCGATGAACATCTATTTTATATTATAGAAAAAGTATTTATTTTATTAGTCAGAAATCATGCATTCAATCAATTTTATTATTTTTTCTTAATCAACTGAAAAATAAAAGAATATTGAATTATGTTCGCGTGCATCAATCATTAACCACTATTTTGGACACTCATTACGACGAACGCAAGAACTCGCAGTGCTGTTGTTTATGCGTAAATAATCAGAGTTACGACAAAAACATCCCGCGACGCATTGCTCAGTACAAATTTTGGGCCTGTCATTACACGTTTCGGGACACGCTATACCACATTCCATGAATAACTCGTTCTTGCTACAACACTCTTCACGTTTTACACATCTACCATCGTTCGCACGATACAAGCCGTTTTTGCAAAAACAGCTTTCAACACATATTTTTGGACATATTTTAACTGGCTTTGGAATTGGATACGACCAATCGTTACACGTAGGTGGACATGCAGAGCCACATGTTCGAAATTCTTCATTCTCACCGCAATTGTGAACATCTATTGGTTTACATTCTTCCCGTTTGATACAACGACTTCCCGTATCATTCGACTCTCGTACATATCCTTCTTTACAAGAACAACCGAATCGACACATTAGAATACATATTTGAGGCTTGTAGTCACATGTTTCAACACACACGGAACCGCAACCATATTGTTCATTTTCACCACATTGATTCACTGCTGTTAAATACAAAAATCTTCAATGTTTCAATATTTATTTTAGAAATATATTTACCTAAACTTTGAGTGGCCACAATAATTGCAAGCAAAAGTCTGATACACACATTTAGAATCGAGGCCATGTTGCGACTATGATAATTTGAATATATGAATAGAAGATTATAGCACTTTAGTTTTAGATATGAAGAAATAGATAAAACGTAACAGAAAGCAAGCCAATGATGATATTACGGTTCCATGATATAAGAAAAAAACAACCAATGCAAAGTTTACATCGTGGGAATCAATACAGCTTCGTATCAAAGTCCAAAATAAGTAACAAAGAGTCCGAAAGAGAACAGGATCAAACATGAATAAACAATGCATCGTTTCAACAATGAGTTCATAACAAGGCAAAACTTTCCGATAGATAGAATCTTAAATAAATTAAAATAGATCTCTTAATATATGTATACCATAGAAATAACTCGTACAGTATTATTTTTTTCATAGACGCATTTTTCGATATCAAATATCATTGCAAAAAGGATTTCAACTTCCATTGCATATTAGAGAATCTCTAGCTACTGCTACATCAGCATCGAAAGCATACGTGCTGGCACAATTTGTATGCAACTATAGAGAATGATTGGGATCATTGGCACAAAGCCAATGACTAAATACTCTTTGTGCGACCTTCGAGAAGTTCACGTGATACTGAGATGCATATTGATCTTGTAAATAATCAAGAGATAATATAAATATTCAACATTTCTTTCGTTGAACTTACTCATGATCTATTATTCGACCTGTCAATTTTGCATTCACGTTTTAGTATAAACATTAGCTCGAAAGGTATTCTCAAATACAACTATGCATAGTAAATATTTTACTAGCTTACTTGAACTAGTAGTGATGAATCAAACGTGTAGACTATTGACTAAGGATGCACACATTTCTGATTTTATCGGCTCAAAATATATTTGACAACAACTGTTTTTTTTTCGAAATTGAGAGCATGTAAACATATTTGTATTTTTTTCCCATTCGGATAACTTGGACATGTGGTTGTGCAATGTTTTGCAACTAGAGCAACATTCTCATTTTCTAGCCACAATCATAACATGATTTATTATAAATTCAGTGATTGAAATCATAGCGGTTTATCTAAGTATGCAATGCACAAAGTAAAAATTCTCTTTAAGTAGCGCTGATCGATTCGTTTTTTCATCAAAATGATCAATACCATAATTTTTCCGCAATTCATGTAACAGTGTATGATTGAATGCACAAATAATGCGTCTGTTATTAATTAAGAAAACTTCAGCTTGCCATTGTCTTTGTTCATGCACAAAATCTTCAATCCATATTTGGATACAGTCAAAATGTACGTCTGGACTTGTTGTAATTACTCTTTCACAAAGTTGTTGATCTTTTTCTAATATTTCAACAAAAACTTGACCATCGGGTGCTAAGTTTTCAGTCGGATTGACTGGAACTTGAAATTCATTGGTGATAAGTTTTGCTGTACAACGAATCAACTTTACTAATTCTAGGCGTCTGATGCCATTTCTACATTCATTAATCGGACAATACAGATCTCTAATGTATGGCACACCAGCTATCAAATATTGTTCGACAAATGATGCATAAGTTTTTCTAAATTGTTCTTGACCCTATATGGAAGCAAACCACCAAGATTAATACTCACTGGTCTATTCGACAAAAAATGTTTGATACATCTGACCTGTGTTTGGTCCCGCAATATGAATACACATCGAACGTACCAATCGTAATTGAGCCATAAAATTATTTTCTATAAATTCATAGTTTAATATGCGAGAAACGATTCCAGTTGAATTAGGTAGAGGTAACGTAAAGTTACGAACCTTGACTTGATAGTAGTCAATAAAAGTAATATTTACTAGGAGTTAATCTAATGTGCTTGCATTATTTCGACTTGTATGCTGATGTATAGTACTATAATTGTTAATTTCATCTATAGCTAATTTGATTTCTGTTTTAGCAACTTCTGAAAATCGCTTGTTATCGACTACCTAAGCATTCAATATTTGATTTGGATTTTGTTGGTCATTAGACTTTCTAAATCTCTCTATTGGTGGAATAGGACCATGTTGAGTGTAGATTCGATCACGCAAAAATCTAGAACCATCCATTTCCACACTACCAGACAATTGTAAATTTGGTTGTATACAACGTTGACACATCATGCCGTTACCCAGAATTAGCTCATAGACAACAAACCATCTTCCAGTAGACATAGGCTCTAGATCGTAATCTTTAACAAGACCGAGGTCAGCAAATCGACTATAGACATCTTCACTCCAACACTTTTTACACGTATCTAATGCACAGAACAAATGAAAACGACGAAGATGTCTCGGTGGAAACCTCATTAGAGCAATATAGGCTGGTTACAGTTCATGAAAGAGTGCATGACCAATATTACGATGCTAAGATTGACTGAAGAAAATGGTAACACTAGATATTAACATTGAATCAGCTATATCATGAACAAAACTTTCAACTTGAAAATATGAATTAAATTCACGTCTTTTGGGTTCAAGGTCTTGAAGTCTAAATCCATCATATCTTACTTTTAAATTAGGTAATTCTTTGTTATTCGCCTTTAGAATGACGAAAGTGTTGTCGCATCGAAGAAAATAAATCACCATGGAGAGATTTGATATATTTGTTTCATCAATTTGATGATATATCACATTTTCAGCTTCTGTTTTACTCTTTTCATCATTTTGTTTTTCGATGCAAGCCGATAATTCTGAATCGTATAATGAATATTTGCTCCATTTTGTACCCTATATTCTATATTGATAGGAGATATAACACTAGTAACAATAACCATCATTGATCAGATTATATAAATTAGTTGTATTTTTCTGAATGCAGTTCTACTTGCTCAACTTAAAGTTTCCATCACTGATAAATATCCCAAGTTTTGCTCACTAGAAATAGCAACTGAATATGGAACTCTTAAATAAAACAATTCAAATTATGTATCGAGAATGATTTATTTCCTGTAAATTTGATCCTGGCGACTATAAAGATCGTGATATATTGAATATTCTTGTTTAGTAATGGTTGTAGTGATGTGTGCTGTGTATGCAAACAATTCAATAAAATCGATAAACAATTAAAAAAAACGGATGTGGAGAGATTGATAAGTCAGTTGTCTTTCTTCTCTCACATATCTACGCGCATCCTGCTCCTCATAACATATCTCAGCCATAATATCATCACCATTTTTCTCATATCAATTGGCAATTGCAGTTGTTTATATTGATTCTAATTCAAACTCAGAAAATTTTCTTATAACTTAACAATATCCATTTTGGAGCACTATCCAGCAGCTGTTTTACTAGCGCTTGATTCGAAACTGATGAGTTCGAATTGATACAAGGTTACAGTCAGCGCTATTGATAATTCTTGAGCATGCCGATATAAACCTATATCAAATAGACTACTAATCAAGATTACGAAAAAGGTGCTGGTTGATTGTGAGTGTCATTCATCTTGAGCGACTTTCATATCTAGAGAAAAGTTAATTACTACGTTTAGCGTATTGTTTTCACTTCAGAAAGTTTCAGTTGTGTATGACTCACTAGAGTAAATAACTCTCTATAAAACCTTATATGATACTAGATGTAAAAAAGAGATCACTCGCTTAGAGAAGCTTCTTAAGCGTCAATTGCTCAGATTGACTGTGAAGCCTCGCTCTGTTAATACGTCTAGTGACACGAATGATTACCTCCACATATAGTCAGAATGCATGGAATTTTATTTATCAAGTATTTTAAATTTCATAAAACTATCCCAGTGATTTTTGAAACTAAGTTCTTCATACCCACCTCTACAGTTAAGTATTCCTGTCGAACATGTCAGCCTTCGGAAAAAAAAGAAACTATTGGAATTAATAGCACAGAGACATTGGCGATTGACGAACGAGCTAATCAAACAAATATTTCTGAAAACACATAAGTGGGCAAATAAATAGTATTTTTTTCTGGCTTTGCCAACTACTCTTATTCTATGGCATGAACTGCATTTTTTCTACTCTGCAGGCAAAGAAATGCAACGAACTATTATTAATTTTCCTTAAAATATCGATGAATTTACACGCAAACAGTTCAGATGTTATCGAAAACCTGGTAAATTGCACAATGTATAGAAACAATGGATTTTGTTTTGTCTCACAATCGAATGTGCTGTTGATGCGAGGGAAAAGATTAGATTTTCAGTAAAATTTATTCACCTACGGACAGTCTGATCAACTGAAGAGAAGTTTGACGATTGCGCTGACTAAAGCCGACGCGAAATACTAGAAAAACGAGAAACAATTCTTCCTTTCTTTTCTCACCAATAATCTCTTCAAATTGATGACTTGAAGTGATTCATGTAAAAAAAATACGATTAAGTATTGAAGTCCCAGCTTTTGTTACTTTTCTAGAGAAATTGAAGAATGCAATTGCACAACTCTATCATCACTATATTGTGGCTATTTCCATGCGACTTCGTGTGCATGAAATAAGAAAAGTCGAGTCAACATTGTTTGAGTTTGTGCTGATGAAAAGAAAGCTGACAGTTATCCATTCATACTCATACTCATCCATCATAAGAATATATTTGGTGTGACTTCATACAATAAGCCAAAATAAAATTGAATCTATGCTGTTGTCGACGTAGCGATTGCTTTTGTTTGGAATTATATAGTCTAACATTTTAGGATTTGTCCAAAGAAACGTGCCGAAAAGTAGACAGTCACAGGTATAGGCATGACCGTATATGTGAAGCCAACATCTACATCCTTGGCAATACTCTGCCAAGAGATTTATGATAATATTATATTTGTTCTCTAATTTATAATAATATAATTATGATTTAAATATGAGTCGAAATTAATCAGTTCCTTTTTTGTACTAACCTTTGAATGCATTGAACTCGATAATTAGCAAATACGATTCCGAGAATCTGTTTTACAAAAATGTTTCAATTATTAGATTTGTTATTCATTAGTGTTTTTTTTTTATCAAGTTCTATCATATATTTGCATCGAATAAAACAAGAAAATTCTATTTCATTTTTTTCTTACTGTACTTTCTTGTGAATACGTCATCGATGAATTATTAGCTATTTTGATCCTACGTGGTACGCGTGAATGATTGCCGTGTAGTAAAATGGGAGCGACCGGGAAAATGAAGAAGAAAAACAAATTAATCACAACTTTCTAGTTAGCTTTTGTAGGTGAGGCCATAGACAAATAACAAAGAATCTGTTAGCACTGACAAAAATAAAGAAAAAATAACTGATATCAATTTACCACCGATCCTCCTTGTATTATTTTGTTCTGTTCTGCATTATTAAGATGACTCACTACACTAAGTTACTGTACCACCGCTGGACTTCCGTGTCACAAATAGCTGCAATAATAAGTTAAGAATGAATCAAAGGCTGGCTGCAACGTGACTTTTAAATGGGTGAGTTATAGCAAGACAGAACAAGTATCATTCTTTTTTTTGCATTCTTTTTATTTTGATATAGACACTATTTCTATGTTCGTCTAATTATATCCAAATAAGTAAATAGAAAAATAGTTCTTTTTGTTACAATAGTTGCATCATTCAGCCGCGTCATGAAAATATCTAACGAGAAAAATGTAACAACTTTTTTCCTCAAAAAAAATGACCTATCGCTCATTTTTCCTGCTGAATTTATTACAAATAACTTGACATATTTCTTCTATTTTAATTCCTATTAAACCAATGATAAAACGTGTTTTAATATTCTCGTAGCTGATTCATCCTATCTGTAATTTTTTGGGGGACATACCATTTCTTCTTTTATTTTCATTCATGCGCAACCAATGTTTTCTTTTCCTTTTTTTTGGGGTAGGATGGGATTCGCTGTACAAAAACATTCTTATCTAAATGGACCATCACTCATCATACACCTGCTGCACTATAATATAAACCAAAATGGCGAATATTATCATATTCTCCTTCAGACTTACAAAAAGCAAATAGATACTCTATTTCAATTGAAATCATAAAAGCTATTATGACAGGGCCAGTGTATTAATACGGTCGTCAATATGGCTTAACAGCGGATTGGTCAACGATGCATAACTCGTATCAATCACAACTTCGTCGATGTTCATCGGTCAACGATCAAGATTCATTCGAGTTAAAAACTGACTACGATCAACACACAAGCAATTTAATTCTCCAACGAAAAGTTTCAGTCCATGACGATGATTCAAGTACGAAAGAAAACGAACGACACAGTGAACATACTTTTACAGCAAAACTTGATCATAATGAAAATAAACCAGTGACACAATCGTTTTGTCCGATTTCTGATGAGGACTTTTTGGAATGTGAAATCAAAGAGGAATTAACATTTTCCTCTTATGTACATGACCGTAAGTCAGACAAAAATTCTTTTGCTTCATGATGATGATGAAGTAAAGATTAGTAATGTCCTAGTAGTAAATGTTTTTTTTTCTATTCTTTTTCACAGTTGAACTTACTAAGAATGTCGTAGATAATGTGAAGAAATGTTTCTGTTTTGATACAAAGACAGTATTTCATGCTGAATTTGCTCGACTCATTTCAATCCCGCTATTATTACGGCATAATGTTCGATATTATCTTTTTGCTGAAGAAGAACTTGTCCATTGGAAATTTGTGAATTTCAACATTTTATATCGTCAACTTGACAATGCTAAAGCACAATTTAACTGTCCGAATACAGATTGTCAACGTGCGTGGACATCAATGCGAGCTCGAATTTTATTTTCTGTGTATTTACCAACAGTTCGATTTATTGTACTGAAAATTTTCGGACAAAATTGCCAGAATTGTGGTACATATACTAATGCTCGTTGGTATACTGGTGAGTTTTCAATTATTTTCAAATTACTTTCTAAATATTTTTTTCTCAATCTTTTTAGACGAAATTTGTCGGGTAATAAAAAATTTGACTTTATCGCTTTTCGAAACCTATCATCCCGATATGTTGACCAATGTTAAGTTAGAAAAAAATGAAGAAGTAATACAAAATAAGCAAAATCACATCCATAAGTTATATTATAATCATACTCAAAGACAAGGAAAAATGTTGGCACAACACGCTAATGAGTATTGTGAAGCATGTCGAATTGGTTTATGTTTCACTTGAAAATCAACCGACAAATACGAACTTGTATATGTTACAGGGGAGATTGAAATGCAGGGCTGTTTAAAATAACCCTTAGGAGAAATTGAAATTTTAATCTCCGCTAGGGCAAATTAAAATTTTGTTTTTTCCGGGTTCAATTTATGAGAAAAAGTAAAGATTTTGACTTCAAAATGTACTACATTCGCACCCACATTAACACTGGCATCTAATTATCAAGTTCCATCACATCAGTCTTTTACAAACACCTGAATTCGCGCAAAAGACACTTACCTTATTTGTGGGTATGGATGTAGCGTGTACATGTGGGTGTGAGTGTAGGTGCGTGTATGGGTGCTAGTATTAGTGTGGATATGAATGTTGTACGTTTTGAAATCAAAATCTTTACTTTTTCTCATAAATTGAACCTGGAAAAAACAAAATTTTAATTTGCCTTAGGGCAGATTAAAATTTCAATTTCCCCCTAAGACCTATTTTAAACAGCCCTGCATTTCAAACTCCCCTGTAACATATATATTAAAGAGGCATTTTTTTTCTTCTTTAGAACTATAGATATTTTACTTGTGTTCCTATCTATCGACATATCTTTGCATGAATGTAATACATCCAAATACTAATAGAGCAAACGCTAGATAAGCTATTTTTTGTGTTTATCAATACATGCTTCTGTTTTTTTAAGTCATTTCTATGGCATACAGTTCCATTGAATATACTACAGTGAAATCTCTTGAAGGTCGATTCTCTCTGTCACATAAAAAATATATACATGTAAATCCAATTTTAACTCTAATTTATTTCCTTTAGTGTTATCTATATGTTACTCTTCTTTATTCTACGTTATCCTTCACTCGATTGTACATTTGAAGTCTATTAGCAGTTCTCTTGGCATGCCCTGCTCCACTATACATATGATTTATTTAAAGACTAAAAAATCATGCCTGGAATTTTTATTCTTGACATATCAATTTATTGAAAAATGTTAAATTCACAATATAACTCAAACTAAAGAAAATATCTTATAAAAAAAATCGATTAATTAACAATATTATTTAATATAAATGTTAACCATTTCCTGATATAAACCTTATCTATGGATGGAAATGTTAAATCGTATATAGTATTAGATGATGATTTTGCTGATGGCATTCGTTCAAATGGATTGTTTGCAAAAAATTCAGCAACCGATTCGAATGAACGTTTCTTTGATGATTGTAATGTTAATTTCACTTTCCAATCGTTATAAGGAAGATCAATAAGTGCTATACCACAATTTTGAATACCTTCAATGATATTTTCAAACGATATCCCTTCATTCGATGGAACAACATGATATGTTCTTCCATAAACATGTAGCTCAGCATGACTCAAAGATACAATGCTTCGAGCAGCTAAATTAGCTGGTAAACCATTCAGTTTCATATGAGGAGATATTGTCGGATAGCACCCTGTTTTCATAATTGCTGCCAATAGTAATGTATTAATATCATTTTGATTACAAGCACCGGTTTCTGTATGTCCCCAAATTGATCCAAGTCGATAGATATTAACTGGTAGACCCGAGCGATTGGCTTTAGCAATGAGTTTTTCTGCGACCCATTTACTTTGTGCATAACCACTTCTCAAATGATTGGGAGAGATTTCATCGATATGCACTTCTTGTGTTATTTCCGAAGGTAGCACACTAATAGTCGATATGTATTGTACTGGTATGCATGCATCACTATAAGTCGCCAGACGAATTACTTCAAGAGTTCCTAGAACATTCGATCTGTAGAGTGCGTTGTAAGGAAGTACAAAATTAACAATAGCTCCACAATGAAAAATAACATCTATACAAGTAGCCAATGCTGAATAAGTTTGTATATCGAGTCCAAAATGCTCTTCAGAAAGATCACCACGCAATGCAATAATACGATCTTGATATTTGTCATTCCATAATTGAAGAAATGCCATATTTTCTTTAATGCGTTTTAATGGATTTGCTGTAATTTGACATCGTACCAGACAAATAAATTTACAATCAGAGGGATATACTTTTAATAATTCAGCTAGTAAGAAAGCACCGACAAATCCTGTAGTACCTGTTATAAAAATTGTTGAAGGAGACACACTCTCATTTTTCTTTTCCTTAATTGTTATGTTGAGTTCTTGTATTGAATCATTTAATAGTTGAGATATAATCGAATTTGGAAATGATAAGATTCGTGATGGATTTTTAATTGTTTTGACTAGACTCTCTAGGTTCATATTGGAGTCGAAAAGAATATCGATTGGTATAGGTACTCCTAGATCTTCTTGTATCATACGAGAGAGCCGTATAGCAGCCAATGAGTCACCACCGATTGACATAAAATTTGATGTTTCGTCGATTGTTAATGAACGTTCAATTGCTCTTTCGATCATAGTTTTTAGACGAACTTCTATTGATTCGATAGTTTTTAATCGATCACCATAATGTGTAGCCAATCGATAACGGCAAAGTTTCATTGAAGATGTGAGTAAACCATTTTCAGATGTAAAAGGTTCAAATTCAATAATTAATTTAGACGGAATTTCATGCTTTCGAAGTGATTCTTTTTTAGCTAACAAATACAGATCTTGCATGATTGCATCATAAAATAATGTATTTGGATGATCGTTATCTAAATCCAGCAGATTATGTTTCGTAGCAAATGCTCGAGCATAGTCTTTGTTAGGTACTATAACTGCCGAAACAGAATCTTCTAGAGGATTACCATGAATATAGATTTGTTCAACAAATGGACTTTGCATATAAATTTCTTGAAGAGATTCTGGTGATATAAATTGTCCTTGGGAAAGTTTGAAAAAACTTTTTTTTCGATCAATAATATGTATTCGAGGTTTTCCATCTTTTTCAGGACGTAATTCAACAATATCTCCAGTACGGAAAAATCCGCTATCGGTAATTGCCATTTTTGTTTCTTCAGGATTGTTTATATATCCAGAAAACATCGTCCCTGTTTTAACTAACAGTTCCCCTCGTGGGAATGGCTTATCGGCAAGTGTATAACCCATTTCTGGCACTGACTCAAGAGAATAATTGATACCCGTGTCGAGAAGTTCGTCGTATGTGATTCCACCACATTCGGTAGTTCCGTAGGATTCTACAATTTCACAACGTTTGAAACATCGTTTCATAAAATCGAGCACTGCCGAATTGACCATAGCACCACCTATAGAAAGGAGGTGACATCTTAATGGTATCAATTTTGAAAATTTTTCCAGTAGAACCTCTTCGGTCAATGTTATATCAGTAATTGATTGGTCAGTAGTCATTAATGCTAGATTTGCTTTGTATTCAGCATAAATTTTATTCCAAATAGTTGGCGGAGCAGAAAAAGTTGTTGGTCTAACTAGAGTTAGTTCTTCCATTAGACGACTTACATCGCCGGTTGAGAATCCAGTGCGTCCTCCTTGAAGAAATAATCCAATTGAGCTCAGGCGATCAGTAGCCCATGAAAATGGCCGATAGCAAAGTCTGATGCGCTCCGAGCGGTATGCTGAATTTACAGATGAAAAATTATTTCTAAGTGAACTTTCGGAGATTATAGCTCCTTTAGGAAACCCGGAACTTCCACTAGTATATATGACAGTAATACAATCATCGGGCTCAGTTATGGTATATTCGTATCGTTTCAATGAACCATATCGTTCTAGGGTGCCCATATAATGAATTGAAAGACCATTCACTTCTAGAAATATATATAGAGTATGATCATGAATTTTTCTAACTTATGTTCATCTGTTAAGACTACTTTTCTTCGTAAGTCTTAATGAACTGAATAGTTATAGAGATTATAGATCGCAAAAAAAGTTTTCTTTGAAACTATTTTGCAGGCATGGAAAACCTTTGATTTCTGAACTGATATTTATGGTCAAAAAAGAACCTGACTGTCAACAACAATGAACACTATATTGAGTGTTTTTCATGTTGCTAGAAAAACTTTTCAGGGTTGTCAACATATCGAAATATTTCATTGGTTAACAATTCAGACAATAGGCGAGTCTCGTATTAACTGCGATAAAACGTAAATCTTAATTTTTCAACATTTTAAATCAAAAAGAGATGATAAAACAGAGAAAATGATGGTGTTTTGATTCGCTCTAGCCAATGTATTCAATGTTGAATCATAGATTGTGTTCATGAAAGTTTATGCTCTCATAAATTTAAAAATATGACACACCTTTTTCTTATCAGGAATTCTTTGACGGAAAATAAGTGAATGCCGTACTCGGACTTCTATTGCGAGTAACCGAGAAATCAAATGTTCAAAGAAGTGAACTTTAAGTGTTCGTTTGATTCCTTCCAACTTTTTTTCTTAGGACTCAATGTATGGAAAACATTAGAATATCGGAGAGAAATTAATAGATTTTGTAGTTATTTTGAATCATTTTCAGCAGAAATAGGTCGTCATCTATCATATAAGGCGTAATAGTTTAATGTATTCGGAATACTCAAGCGACTCGTAGTTTCCATTTTACTATTGCCCTAAAATGTTAACATGTTCTGTAAAACTGAGATTTGATCTTACTTGAAATAGTTTCAGGAATCGGATCCATGCATACAATATGCTGTAGTAATGGACATTCAGAATGTAAGCGAATGAATTTCGGTAACATTTCTTTATCACAAACTACAATGGATAATGACGTATTTTGGAGAATAAAAGCTATATCACGATCAGTAAATAGACAATAGATTGGCACAGTAATAAAACTCTGTAAAATACAAGCAAAATCTGTCATCAACCATTCTGGCCGATTTGCTGCACAAATGCCGACATAAGTACGTGGTTTTATAAAACGTCGTAGTCCATGACTGAAATTTGTTAGTCGTTCACCTATTGTTTTGAATGTTTGCCAGGAATACGAGTCTGTATATATTTGAGGATTATGTGGATCAACATCTCGTACACCCATACAATATCGAACCTGATAGGTTGTAATTGCAGCTTGAATCCTTGCAGCCAGATCTACTCTACTGTGTTCTGTTTCTTCGACATAACCATATGCAATCTCACGAACTAGTCGATGTGGATGCGGTGGCTGAACTGTTGCTGTACACGTTTCACACTGATCATAATCAGGACAGACGACGCAGTTGAAACGAAATTCACCATGTTTGAGAATGCGTTTGCAATCATCACATTCCCAATAGCTTGGATGCACAAAAATATTGGATTCCATAAAATGATTGGAATCTATATTAGGTTAATCCTAAAATTAGAAGGAACATATAAGATTATACTCTATTTATCAGGCTATGCATCCTATTTCACCATTGCTTACATATTTCTGTCGCTTATACTCGTAATCGCCTAAAAAATTATACATATTAAAGGATTTTACTTTTTTTAAACTTCAGATAAATTATAGCTGGAAGGATTCTTAGCTATCAATAAGTTTTTTAGACTCTTTCAATAGGAAAAAAAGTAATTTAAAACTCAACGAATATACTACGTTATAAAATTTCTAACCATATGTCAGTGAGTAATGGTGGCTAGCGTTAGCTACTTTTTTTTCTCTAAACTATTTTTACTCATTTCTAGTGCAATACTGAATTTATGATAAATTTTGCGGCACTTGGACAAGCTCACAATAAATTTACTAACGTAAATACTCATCCCGTTGATGAGATCAATCTGTTATGTTAGCTGGATCCAGTTGCCATCCCTTTAATCAGAATCATCAACAGGATACTTTTAAATAAATTTATAAATTATAAAATCGTCGTGTTCTATCATATTTTTTAATCATGAATAAATTTTTCAACAGAGTATCTTTTATGTTTCCGAATTACTATAATTCCATCTAGCACATAAACGCATCATACTACACGTCTGAAAACATAGTTGCGTCTAAAAATAACTAATTTCGAAGACTGTATTTCATCCTTTTCTATTAAATGTTGGTTTCAGCATTGAAAATAGTTTGACTAAAAGTTTGTTTCAAATTTCGCAAGTATATAAAAAAAGAAACTATAATAACCTAGAAATCCTACCAATTAGATATTCTATGTATACCATAATCGAAGTCATTTTTCATTCCCTTCGTACAAAAAATCGCGACACTATAGTCTATTGACGTCTGCTGAGAGTAATGCCGTTGTAATGAAGCAACTAAGAGCATTACTTAGTAGAGTTTGCGGCAACTTCAAGTAGAAAGTTAATATTTTAATTCAAAATAAAAGATTTTATCTTGAATCTATCTAAATATTCAACGCGTAACCGTATGAGAAGTGCATAGCAAGCAAGAAGAAAAGCTAGAAACAATTTAAAAATCGACTTACTACTTCTATCTTCATAAAAGTGAAATATTCTTGTTTGACTGAAGAATCAGGACTATTCATAGGTTGTGCAAGACTGTTTTTATCTCACATGGTGAAAAGCAAAACAGAACTGTTTTCTTCTCCTTCCTGTTTGAAACATGAGTCATATTGACACAGAGTCACGTTTCTTAAACGTTAGAAATGAATCATGTAGCCTATACTTCGCAGCCTGTTTCTTGAGTTTCTGTTCAGATTTATATACTTATAAAGATGCGTATGATGAATGGAAATGATTCATTTTGATAAGATTGACGCAGAACAAATATCGTTGGGATGTGATTCACACGAAGAAACACATCCAGACCTACTTTACAGAAATAGAACTCTATGGAAAGAGCTTAGTGAAAGAAAAAAGTAATACATCAGGTAATGTGATATGCGATTATCGATATGATTGGGTGCACTCGTATAAGCAGATTGCTTACTCGAACGGTTTGAAGAGAGAAACAAATTCGTATCATCAGCATAACGCTTTTCGGGACCTTCTTGATTGAAGTCATATTCTTGAAGTGAGTATTTATGGCGACCTTGTTTTCCTTGAGGGTTTTCAAGAAGCCAAATGATTCATAGCTATTTCCATTTCATCTGGCCACAGTAGACCGAAATAATTGCATATTCTGTGAACCAGATCAATAGGATCTTTCATTAAATCGTTATAGTTAATATCGAACACGTTTTTTAACCGCTTAATAACGCCATTGGATGTTTTTCGAAACTTCAGGATACATTCAATTACTATATCCATAAATTGACAACAACGTTTTCCTACATTATCTCGAGTAATTGTATTCGTGCTGTCGAAATTCCAATCTGTAGCTGATAATGACAAACTACACAGAGAAGGAAGAACAGTGCCAAGAGGTCGATGAATCATGATAATCAATGCATTTGGATGATGTTCCAGGAGCTTATTCAAAGAAAACGTGTGCAATGCGGATTTTAGTAACCAAGGCGACGTTGATGCATCAACACTATTCAACATATGCAAGAATATGCCATTGTAATCGTCTGCATAATCTTTGTTAAGTTCACGACAGATCCAACTATCTGAATTGAACTCCTGATCACGCGATATAAGAGTGAACATAGGAAAATAACTAGTTTGACGTAGAATATACCATAATCTTCTTATTTTGGAAAACATGCATGGGCTGCAGCTATTAGGATAAGTAAATCCGATAATTGTTCAGATTCTGTCTGAGGGGAACTCAGGAGAGCAATTCGTCGTTTTCTTGTGTACTCAAAAAAAAGTGAGTACACTATAGAATCGGTCAGTGCGTCCGTCCGTCCGTTTACACGATAGCTCCTGAAAGGCTGATCCGATTGTCATGAAATTTTGTACACAGAACGATCTCAGTCGAGTTCGAAGATGAGAGGCATCTGTCAAGAAATGGCTGAGTTATCGAAAAAGTTGTCATTATTGACCAGACCATCCCTGAGTCGGGGGGGGGGGGGGAAACGGGTTTTTGACAAAACAAAAATTTTTTCTAAGTATTATTCACAACATATATAAATCGACTCGGTTTTTGCAGTACACATAACAATCGGATGCAAATCCGATGTTTCCGCATTTTTTCTCGATGAAGTCGGATCTTGCTATCGGCGAAACAACTTCAATATCCGTATCAATATACAGTGATGCACGACAACTTTGATCACAAACAAGTAAATTGTAAAGTAATGTCGTACGGGTACGTGGGAAGCCACAAATCACTAATGAACTAACACTTGGTAAACTTTGTTTGGCAATATATTGATGTTCAGCTACATAGTTCATAACATGTTGACAATGTGTGCCTAAACTTGTCACGGAACGATCACTGCCCATTTGATCTAATATCATACTCAATAAATCCAACAAAATGCTTAAACTTTACAAAATGAATATCACAAACGTTTTCATAGTTTTCTGATTGAGAAAACTATTCGTATTACATTGGCTATCATTGTATTATATATAATTAGATGTAAGAAATAATCTATGAATGAATAGTAAACGAATATTCAATAAAAGCATGAGATTCAAACGTATAAATAGTGTGAGAAGTTCGATAGCTATAATGGAAACCATAGCAAATTGTAGATATTGGTCATCACTGAAGAACACCTAACTTGTATCCTTGAAAATCGTCGTTTACCTGTATAATTTTGTCACCTTTAAAAACAAATGCTCAGATCATATTTATTCATCTTAATCACTTGTTTATTTACTTGAAAGTTACCTAAAGATTCTAAAGCTCGATTGGTTTCAGATCAGTCGTTTGCTAGAATTCATGAAATTTCGATATGTATTCATAACTAAGTAGATAAGCTTCCAATCCAATCCAATCCAATCCACTTCTCGAATTCTTTTCATCATAAGTTATTCTTAATTGCAAATGTATGACTGTATCAAAATTTTCTTAAGTACATCGAATGAGTTTCTGAATTTTTCTGCATACTTATAAACAATAAAACTGTTTGCACGTGTAGTTTATTTCTAAATGTGGATTATCTAGCCATCATATTGCTATGAGAATATATTCAGTTCAAATTTAGCCACATGCTAACGAAACACCCTTTCGAATGTACGAAGAATATTTATTGACTAACAATATTCTTCTATTCACGTAACTAGCAAACGGAAGCAAAATTAAGTAACACAGTTTATATTCTACCTTCTTCTTTTTGTTCTTAAATATCTTATGTAATGTTCTTCATGGTTGTACGAGAACATTTCAGACTATAATGCTTTTCTCAAGATTGATGTGTTTTCGTATCTTGCTCATTGTTACATTAGTAGTATACAAGAAAAGAAGGAGAGTAAGAGGTAAAAATAAAAAGTATCCTAGGAATTCGTGCAAGCGATATGCCATAACTAATTCGAGATTTCTAGTTCAATACTAAAAATGACTAGAAAAATCATTGAGACACACGAAAAATAACCTTAGATGTTTAAAATCGGTGGTAAAATGTATAATTTAAAAGTAGCATATATGCATTAGAAAGACACTCGCGCAATCTTCCATCACACATGTCATCATGTCCTACGGGTGCTATAATCACTAAAGGCACTAGTGATCGGAGCGTGTGTTAAAGTATTAAAAACAAATACACATAGATCGAACTGTATGTTAAATACTTACAGAAATATTACTGAAAAGTAGTTTCACAGACGACTATATGCACTTATACCTGACTTTGAAGAGATTAATTTCTCTGCTTTTTCTTAGCAATCGTTTCTTCTTATTTTTTTCTGAACGATAACCAAATTTTATGATGATATTATATTTCGAAATTTGCCACCTACGTCGAAGGCAGATGACAGAGAGACGGAAAATGAAAGCGAATAAGGTAAAGAAAGCGTTTGTTTGTATAACTTATAGATATTCGTCGTAGTGTATGTAGCTATATATAATCATGGTGCAACTGTAGCTTTTACTTCTGAAAAACGAACTAGCTCATTGTTGCAATCGCAACCATATAATTAAGCTATTCGCTCTATTGAATTCTTAGTAGAAATGAAAATTTAAGAGAATTCGATGTGATCGATTCAAAGCTGAGTCATTTTTAAATTAAGAACGATACCAGTTGATTCATATGTCAGTTCGGTAATTAATTATTTTGCTTTTGGATATTTTATGAAGATTGATGATTCTTCTTATTCGTGTTATATACAAATATCCAACTTGAATCTGTAGGATAAGTCGTGTTTCGTGATCAACGACTAAGAAAACGATAAGCTTTCATCGGTTATCTATTCTATAATAAAAAATTAATTGGAAAAAATTCCTGTTCGTTCTTATATGATTTACTATAAATCGATTTTTGAGTAAATTTGGATGAGGAAAAGATTCATTCGTGTTTACACATTCCTCCCACGCGCACATGTAATGACGTATTATTTTAGCAAGGGGGAAACGGCGGACTTTTGAACTTGAAGTTGCTTGCAATTACTTGAAGTTAGATCAAAGTTGTACAGCTACTTGTTCTTATTTCAGACTTTTTTAGTAGTATTTTTAGCAACTGAAAGCATCTACTTTGACCTCTCTTGGTGTACTTTTCTACTTCAAGTCCGCTGTTTCCACCTTGCATTTTAGAAATATTCATATTACAGTAAAAAAAAATCATATATAATAAATTTATTAAGATTGGCATTTTCTATTGCTTGAGCTCTCTTTACTGGTTCCAAGGTCAACAAATAACATTTGGTAATGCTTATCTTTCAATTTAGAAAAATTCTCTGAAGTAAATTATCACAGAGCAAACGAAAGAAACATATTCAAAAAAATATAGAGGTAAAAATTTGTCAAATAGGAATATTATTTGAATGTGATCGTTTATTCGTATCAATTGAAGTTGATAATGAAAATCCACGATGAAGAGCAGGTATGCACAAAAGATAATTGTCAGATTTCCATATTTTTGGTAACAATGAAGAGTTTATTGATACAGCATTCTGATAGTTTCGAGAAAGACCAAATGCATGTCTTTCCTTATATAATTCTATTTCGGAATTGATCGAATCAGTTGATAGTAATGAGGATGATATCGGTTGAAAACGTGGCAAAATGGAATAACGATTGAATTCTGTATCATACGTGTTTAAACGAGTATCTATTGATGTTGTTTGTTCATGAATAAACATAAAATGATCACACGATTGACATTGTCGATTTTCATAGTCATCGTTTATTAATAATTCATAGATATTCGGACATGAATGAATAATACCACCTGCAGTTAGGAAGAATTCATCCTCATTTACTAATTTATCATCGTAACTTTCTGTTCCAAATATACATGGCGTTGTTGGTCGTATTAGATACGACAAGCGAGATGGTGATTTTTCTCTAGTACTATTCTTATTCTTATTGAGCATCGGACTGCTTGTCGTTGTTCCATCTGGTATTGTCATCGTAGAAGAACATTTATGAACTGTCAAAGATGACTGACATTTCAAAATAGGCGACGAAGAAGAGAATGCTGCTTTGTTTGACGCATTTAACAATATTAATAAGACATTTTTTTGTATTTTTCTATCATATTTCTCTGCATTTCCCTTTCCCCTTCGTTTCTCTGTTGTTTACAAAAGTGTTCATTTGTCCCATTCTTGCCATTAACCATGCGCCATATAATATCATTATCATTGATAGATATTTTCGAATCGGCTAATACAATTTGTGGCATCGTACTAACAAGAATTTCAAGTAAGATATATAAACTATCCAATAAATTGTCGTTTTCTGTTAACCATTCACCTTGAAAATAAAGACAAAAATGAATTCTTGTATGTATGTATGTGTGTGTGTTTTCTTTTCATACTGTAAGAAGTCGAAGAATGAAAATAACGATGAGAAAAATTACACAAAGACGAATTACATGTATTGCACATGAATAGATATGAAAGAGAGCAAAAAAAATGACCTATACATATAAGAAATTTGACCCCAGATAAGCATACATACCGATAATTTGTTTCTTTTTTTCCCTTAATCTAAATTCTTCCAAGAAAAAATTCATTTTCAAATCTGTCTGATCCTTTTCTTTTCTGATGTGCATTGTAAAAACATGATTTTGGTTAAGTAAATGTACTTGACTATTGAGGTGTCTAGTAACAAGATTCAAATTTCTTTTGAATGAAAAAAAACGCGGGATCGAACTGCATATAATCTGTCTTTTGTATGAGAATTTTTAGTTCAATGTTGTCAAATCAATATTTTAGTTTGACATGAATCTATTGTTTGCCGGATATATGCACACATGTATATGTATGTATATCGATATGATCGAACTGTTTAGATTCTCAATACATAGCTAGCTATCATTGCATGCTGATTTTTCTGCTTAATGCAATGAATAGGTGCACATTTGATTAGCATAACTAGTAATTATTGAACGATGAGTATGAATGCATTTCTGACAGATAACTTTCGACAATAAGATAACACGAATAGAGTAGAACAAAAACAAAACAAACGAATCATTGTTGATTAACTGTTTTTAATAATATTATCGATTGTGTATTTGTGTACACTAAGTTTCGAATCATTGATAGAACATTATACAATTGGAAGAGAAAAGGAAATACGATATCACTAACACATCAATTTCCATATCAAAGAGATTGGCTCGGCACGCCATATACGACCGTACGCCCATTATTACTCATCATATGCATAGTATGTTTGAGTTTAATCATTGAACTTCAATCAAGCATACAAACAATTTCACTCTTTCATTTTCTCAATGATTATAAACGGATGATGGTAGTGACGTACAGGCAAAATCGCTTGATCAATCATGGCTGGACATGGCCTTCGGTTGACAAACAGAAATTGTATGTGTGAGCATGTCTGAAATCTCTGCAGAAATTTTGATATACATAAGAGTGAGAGAGAGAGAGAGAGAGAGAGAGAGACACACATAAGTAATCTAGTGAGAGTGTTAATTTTCGGTTTGTATTTGTATGATGTTATTGTTTTTCTTATACCCGAAGAGACTAACTTATGGGAAGAAAGAGAGCGCCCATCTATTTCTTTCTATTTTCTTCTTCGTTTGGTTTATTAACTGAACTGGAATAGAGAACGAGAAAGAGAAGAGAAGACGGAGCAGCAAAAAGAAGAAATAATAGTAATGGAAACAGCGATGTCGTCTAATTACATTAGAATAAAGAATTCGTTCGCTACTAATTGAGTATGGTGCAAGAGAAGAGCTACGGGATTCTGTTAAATTCTGTTTTTATCGAAGGACAATTTGGATATTATCGTGAAGAATCCGACAAACATTGACTTTTCCGTTTTTTTTGTGCTACATGCAATGCGCATGTATCTTAATCTCGTTCCATCTCATCCGTCGAAACTAATCAAGTATCAACTGCGTTGAAAGAGTTCTTATCAATTATTTTGTCACCCTCAAGGCATTAACATTTTGCTCGGATCAATGGCTAACCCAAGGAAGACCAATGAAACATATAACGTGAGTTAATTAATATATTAATTGTCTTCGAACTTGATGTTTGATATTATTTATGAAAGAAGTTCGATTTCATTGATTTTTCAAATAGAACATCTACATAGAATTTCATTTAATCTGCTTGTTGACACTCCTTCCATTTTTTGACGAATATCTTTAATGAATCAATGATTTCTTATCACATTTCAACTTTGAAATGTGTGAAATAAAACTGTTTTGTTGACGATTATGTTTATCGTTGACAAAACAATCTATGAATATACTGTCAACATTTATGTTTAACTCAACTCATTTAACCTTCCTTCCGTTGCCGCTAGCATAATATTGAACCTTCGTTTCTTTCTTCGATCTGTTTATGTCACTTACATGGTGTTGATTGTTTACTCTTAGGCTCATATCCTTATCAAACACAATTGTGCATGTACGCCCTGTTTGTTGATTCTGTCTGCTATCATGATAAATTTATTTGGACTTTTCTTTTTCACTCTTATAAATCAGCCATTTGTCAGTATGCACTTGTAAAAAAAACAAATTCTAATGAATCCATCAGCCATACTTTTTCTATATTCATTAATATCGAGTCTAATTCAATTGTGAGATTGTTACCTTTTGTCGAGTGTATGCATGCTTGAGTAGTGTAATGATGAGTATGTATGTGTTTGTTCGCTCTTCACTCGCGTCTTATCGATAACACAGCATTTCATGGTTCGAATATTTGCATATATATTGTCATGATGATGAATCTTTCGATATGTACACTCGACTTTTTAAATGAGATCGATAAGGTAAATTGAGAGAGAGAGAGAGAGAAAGAAATGGAAAGAAAAGCAGACAGACAGAGATGACGAGAGAGAGAGAGAAATGGCTTCACCTGTCCCATGTTGGAATTGGAGCTAAATCACTTATCATCACAGTGAATTACGCCAGCGAGCTATTTGAAGATTAGAGCAGACACTTCGCACCTTTTTACTGCTCGTATTCGAACAGGTGTCGACTTTTTTTTTCTTTTTCTCTTCTGTCCGCCACGGGAAGTCGATAATCGTTTTCTTCCTGTGATCGACGTTTTCAGAAGAGGATGTATATAGCTACGCATAGTTCAAACTCCCAATTCGTTTAAAACTCTTCCCTTTTCCCCCCTTATGTTCACATTATCATATTTTTCAATTAAATGAATGGAAATGAGCACTCATTTGACCTGCTTCTCTTTTCTCTAGAGATATTAACGATAGTCAACTATCGTTGATCATCGAGCTAATCTATCCGCAGTAAGTCATAATATTATTATTGTAATTTCTCTTTCTTGCTACTCGTTCATTTCATTGCAGATGATGATCATAGGAAAGATACAAACGAGTTTTTTTTTCTGTTGTTTCGATTAAACTTCTTGGTTCATGTACGAGCGTTCGATTTGTTGCATCATCATACATTTTGACTTTTTTCTTTTGCTCTTTGTATATTGTTGAAATGGGCGGAGTGTCAAGTACGATTACACAAGCGACACGCGTGTCTACTGATGAACTATTCATTCACAAAACATTATGTATATGTATATGTCCGTCATCCGGTCTGTTGCCGCTTATTGGCATACAGTTCTCATAAAAGAAAAAAAATGCAGAAGATGAAGAAAAGAGGCGATTTTTTGATGAGTGACGATAACTTTTCTTCCTGTCATTTCAATTCTATTAAACCACTTAACTTCTTGGTCGTCATCGTGCACTGAAGTGACAATCGATTTAGTTTTTTTTTTCTTACTTATACAGAGTGGGTGGGTAAGAAAAAGGTTCAGTAGGTTGTATTGCCTACAGTGATGAGATATGTGCGAATTGTACATTATCATCGTATAGAAAGTAAGAATGCTTTTGGAATTCGATAAAGATGAGTTTATATATTTGGCCTATCTCCTTCTATTTACACGCTTACATCACACATGATTGTTTTTGACTGCTCCTTATCAGTTTTTCTTTCTTGTATTACATAAATGGTTCGGAAAAAATCTCGCTCGACTGTTATTCTTGTCATCTTAGCTATTTGTAAAGAATAAGAGTATCGATCAACTGGCGGAGAAAGATAATCAACTAGTCTCGGTCTCATGTGCGCATATAAAATTGTTGAACACATGTTGAAACTCAAGAGAGATAACGCAGACCGTCTAAAATTTCATCTAATATTGATTGCCTATTGTCGGTGTGCATTCATTTGATAAATTCCAGGTAAAGTGTTGATTGTTATTTTTAATATTTCAGATGTTATTCTTATTCATTTTTCTTTTCTCAATTCATCTACTACAATCTTGTCCATTAACTGATGAATACTTATCTCGTTGTCATTGTGGCATATTAACAAATGGTGAATCGTACATAAAATGTGAAGAGAATTCACTTAATCACATACCAAAATTTAAGCGTTCATATTCATACGATGAACTCATATTAATAAATAATAATATAAAAAATTTATCATCAACATCATTTGATAATATCAAAACAATAAAACGCATCAATTTATATGGAAATAGTTTATCGTTGATCGATGCCAATCTATTTCGTTTATTAGGAAACTATTTAGAAGAATTGATTTTAACTGGTAATAATCAAATAAATTCATTAGAATTTTTAACACGTTATCCATTGAAAAAATTACGTTTACTTAAACTTAATCGTTTTAATTTAACAAATATAGATTTAGAAAAAAGCTTTCTAAATATGACAAATCTCGAAGTAGTTTATTTAAATTCATGTCAATTAAAACAAACTCCACATATAAATCATATTAAGTATTTAGATTTAGAAAATAACTTTTTATCAAATACAATATTTCTTTCAACATCCTATTATCAACTTAATCTTGCCAATAATCACATATCATCAATAATATTGCAAAATAATAAAAATTTAATATCATTAAATCTTTCAAAAAATAATTTAAATGAATTTTATTCACTAACAATATCGAATAAAAATTTAACAACATTAGATTTAAGCTGTAACCATTTAACATTTATTGATTGGGCAATATTAAATGATAAATTATTGTATCTTAATCTTAGTTCAAATTATTTTTCAACAATTAAATTTAATTCATTTCCAAAATCTCTAACATTACTCGATTTAAGTTCAAATCAATTGAAAACTCTTGAAAAAAATCATTTTTTCCAACAATTAAATTATCTCAATCTTAATTTAAATCCATTCGATTGCGATTGCCATTTAAAATGGTTAAGAAATCTAATGAAAAAATTGAATACAACGACATGGTCATGTTCATCATCGGATTTTAAATGCCAATCAAATTTCATGCCACAAATCAGTATTTTTAATATAACTTTTATGAAATATTTCTCTCAACACGGTTTTTCTATACAATGGTCCATCATTGATGATTATCAAACAATTGATTATTTACAAATAACAATCGATAAACCATATCGAATGTCACGAAAAATTTCCTCAAATCAAACACATGCTGTTATTTTAAATCATATAGAATTATATCAATATTATCATATATGTTTAATATTAATACATAAATATGCAAATGATAAATATTGTCAAGATATATTTACGAAAAATCCAATATTAAATAAAATGAAACTTCAAGAAAGTGATCTCATTTTAAATGATAATAATAATAATGAAATTGAAATCAATACAAATGATTTTAATGATAATCATTTATATTTATTATTAATTGGTTCATGTATTGGTGCTTTATTAACATTTATATTACTTTTAACATGTTGTTATTTATGTTATCGATTATATAAATATAAAAATATCAATGAACAACCGATTTATGAACAATGTTCACAACATATTCATTATCCAATTTACCATTCACACCCAACATGTTCACATCATCAAATAATATATAATTCGGAAAATATATCAAATTCAACGGATAGTAGTCATATTGACACATCACTGTCATCGACAACAAATAATCCAAAACATATTTATCAAACCATTGATAGTCAAGAATATCGATCATTGAAAAGACAACATCAACAACTATTTGAATTATGGAAGGAATCTGTTAAACAGAATAGATAATTCTTCTTGTTTGTTTGTTTTTTTTTTCTTTTGTATTTTTTATGCTATATATAAGCACCCCGATGAATGGATTACGAATGGTTTTTTTTCTCTCTTCTTCTGTATAAATATTCTAATCAGAAACATAATACAACATCTTCAATGTTTTATCATAAGACATCGAATATAATTCTTGAACAATGACTTTTAGATTAACTTTAAAGTAATATTATAAAAATAAAACTTTCTGAAGTACTTTCAATATTCTTATTGATGACATATAATTTCTTACATCAGTTATTTCTAAAGATCATTTTAAATTCTAAGCAAATATACAAGAGCATTCGTAATTATGCATGTATTCTGTTTGTATCTAACGCAATTTTCGTCATAACGATGTGTATGATAGGAAATTAAATATTTACATAAGAAATATTCTACACTCTAAATTGCATAAAAAGTGACAACTTTCTTTTATACAGTATTTTTCTTGAGCTGAAAGGTTCTACACATCATTAGTTCAGTTTCAAGTATGAAGACAAGTCAATTTTCTCTAAAAAAAATATTTTTGCTTTTTCAAGCAAGAAAATGCTTAAAGAAGAAGCATCGTGTTATATATAATTGATGATGTCTTTCAAACATCGCATCGAACTACATGTTGTTTACACTAAATTATACAATATTGTCTGTAAGCTCTCGATTGATTCTATTGTGTTTCATTAGATTTTGTAATGAATTGAATTCTATAACTTCAAAGAAGAAATTCAATCGAGTGAATTATTTCTAAGCACGAATATTTACCACATAAACGATGTTGTTAACGTTTGCCACACTTAGCATGCATCTGGTTGTTGTTTTTTCATTATTAAATTTCCTGAGAAAAAATAACAAGAAAATCTCTTGAGTATTCCTAAGAGAAAACAAATCGTCATTGTTCGCATACTTAAAATAAAAGTATTGTTTTGTCTAGTTGCCGTCATCAAACGATAGATTCAATAAGAGAAATTAAATTGTTGTTGTTGTTGTTGTTGCTGGCTTTATCGGCAAGACTTCAATTCACTAAGATGTTTAGACGGATACAATATGATTATAGGGCTTGTCTATTGATTGAACATGTCGGAATAATTTTGCGACAACATAAAATTGATTACATATGTTTCAGATGCAGCTCATGTATTGAGAAGAAAAATTAATAAACTTGATAGACAACTGTCAACTTTTAGAATCAATATTAAAATAGAAATGATCATCGAAAAAGGATTATGTAATTAAAAGAGCAAGTTAGATTTACTTCGACTGGTCAATTAGCATATTCATACATAGATGCTTGTATAATTTAAATAAAAATGAAATCTTTTTCTAAGGAAATCGATATTCATTCAGTGATAGAAATTAATGAAAAAGAATTCTTCTTTTTTTCTTCTAGGATTTAAATTAAATGAGGAAAATCTCTATCGTTGTCAAATAAGTTTGTGAATTTTTTTGATTAAGATAATATTGAGAGTACATTTGATAGAAAAGAAGGATGTTCCAAATCATTCGAAATATAAATATCACGAGAAAATTTTCTGAACTTTAAATTTCGTATTTCTCACCAATACAAATAGTTTTTCAAACAGAAAAGCAAAGCCTCTTGCACGATAATATAAGAGTACACGAAACAAAAATTGATATTATGAAAGATGTTAAAAGTTGTTCAGTATTATTTTCTTCATTGTTTGTTTCAGATATTTCTAAATTTCCATACTCCATGTGATTTTATAATGATATGTTGCATCAAGAATCAATAGCTCTATTTCAAATCAATCTAGTTTCCTTCACATATTTATCATTGATAAATAGATTTTCTTTCAACCTGTTGGCCTATGTATTTTATATGTATAGCTATATTGTTGGTATTGAAATCATATGTAGCTGTAAATAAACTTGCCTATTAATTCTTCTTGAAATTTATTTTAAGAACGATCTACTATAACTGTTTACCAAATATTATTATTTTCTCTAAATACAATATTCAATCCAAATGGACACAATATATGCACTTAAAGACATGATAAAACAGGATTGTTATTTATTATTCCTAACTACTAAAATTGTAAATTTATACAGAAATAATTTTTTGTTTCTTTATGTTTAGTTCATAATTTTCATTATCAACTCGAGTTTCGTTTTTAACTCCTTAAAATAATTTTTCTTTTTCGTCTGAATTATTGAAGTTGACCACTGCCAGCAATCTTGACTTCACGTAGTACTTCACCACTTTCTGATCCGCTCATATCAAGATCTTTAAGCAAATGAAAACCTTGTATAACCTGTCCAAATACTACATGTTTGTTATCTAAATGTGAGCAAGATGCCAATGTAATAAAGAATTGACTTCCATTTGTATTTGGTCCACTATTTGCCATTGATAAAAGACCAGCACGATCATGTGGATATGGAAAACCTTCATCATCAAATTTTTCACCATATATTGAATAGCCACCTGTACCATTAGATTTTTCAAAATCACCAGCTTGAGCCATAAAACCTGGGATGATTCGATGGAAATATGATAAACGATAGCCAAAGCCATGTTCATTTAAAGATAATGAAAGAAAATTTTGTGTTGTACGTGGTAACACATGGCGGAAAAGTTCCATGAGAAGACGACCACGTGGTTCATTATCAACTTCAATATCAAAATAGACAAGTGGATTTGATGCCAACTTCATTGGCACTTGTGGTCCAGCAGCGCCTCTATTAATTAAAAGATAACACAATTTTTTGTTGTGTTTTTGATTATTTAATATTTTTTTCTAATTACGTTTCACTTAAAACAGATGAGCCATCGCCTTGTTTTGGTTGAGCTTCAGTAGTCGTTGGAACAGATGATGTTTGTTGATAGTCACCAGAGTCTTTTGCTTCTTTTTTCCTATCAAAATAAGATGTTTTAAAAAGAAAAAATTAAAATAAAGAAAAAATATCATACAAGCCATCATTGACTTTTTCACTATCACTAGTTTTTGTTTCTCCAGTACCATGTTTCGATGATCGTTTTTTATGTTTTTTCTTATGTTTTTTGTCTTCAGTTTCTTCACCTTTCGGATTAGAACTTTTAACTACTGCTGCATTGGGATCATTCGCTGGTCCAGCTGAAAAATAAAGATTTGTCACGAGTTAAACATAAAAAAAACAAAGATCTTATTTGATTTATATAGATATATATAGATACCGCCACTAAAAGGTTGTAGACTTAAGCCTGGATTTGTAGAAGTTGATGATCCATCTAAATTTTGATAAACATAAGTTGGTTGCCCATTGGTTGGTATGGCAATATAATCCGTAATTGGACGAAGAAATTTTTTATAATAATCATCAATCATCGAGTTATTATATTGGCGTACAACAGTATATCCACGTTGATATGAAGTATCGATATCGCTTGGTGATGACCATTTAATATCTGTTTCATTGAGTGCTGGTGGCATATAACCACCGATATCAATTGGCATTTGTTGTTGTACTTGTTGCTGTTGAGAAAATTGAAATGACTCAAAAGCAATCTTTGGTTGGTGCTGTTGTTGAGTTGGAGCAGTATTCAATGAAAGACCGGCTAAATTTTGTGATAATAAATTTTCATTGAATTGCGGTGGGAGGTTATAAACAGGATTCGAGAACATAGTTGACCGTTGAAATCTGTTCTATGAATAAATAATTTTCCTCCTTTCTTCGTGCTTATTGAGTGGTTTTGAACGAATATGAGTAATGAATAGTGGTTCAAAACGAATGAATGATATGGTTGAATGAACCGATGAATATTGAAGATTGCTTTTACTCGTATTCATTAAAAGAAAAAGAAAAAGAAAAGCCGAGAAATTACTCACATCGATCGACTGTCACTTCGAATGAGCTGTTAACATCGATCACCTCTCTCTACGTGAGGACACATGAGGGAAAAATTTTATGCAACGCCCAATCAGTCAGATGATTATTGAAGTATGTTCAATATGTGTATAGAGAACGAGAAAAAAGTAATATTCTTTCTCGCTTTCATATAGAAAAAAATGTATATGACCTTCATGCTTGAACTTCAATGTTAATTGTGAGTCAATTTTTAAAGGTTAAAATATGTACTTCCAGTCGTGTCGTTTGATAGTTACAATTGATGATGATAATAAATTAGCTGAATAGCCCTTTTGTTCGACACGAAAAAATGATTTTCTTTTCTATTAGTTTACATGTAAAATTAAATTGAAAAAAAGTATTTTGAACATTATTTAATTATTTATTTTAAAACAGAAAAGAAATGAAAACAGACACGCAAAACAAAATGTTTAACGACAGTCGGAATAAAATATTCGATGCAATATAAGATGATGATGATAATAATAATAATAATAATAATAATAATAATAATAAAAGAAGAAGAAAAACAATTCACAACACAAACATGCAATTTATATACAATTTAAACACGTACACATTTTTTTGTTGTTATAATTTACATTTTTTTGCCATTATTTATATTTAATAGCTATGATATATAGTCTGTAGAGATCGCTATGATGAGCATCAAACTGTAATGAAGGATCTCGCCTGCGTTCTAATGAGATCGCACACTGTCTAACGCGTCTTCGTTCTATACAACTATCTCCTAATTTGGAGTTTGTCTCTGCTCACACCTCGCTACCATCGATCTCTTAGTTTTCATAGAAGGAAATTGCTTGGTTAAATCTATACATAAACGAACACTGTTCGTTTTACTGTTACAAATTTGGCATGATGCCTTCATATTTTTGTTTTTTGTTTTAACTTTTGGCATTTAACATTTTCATACGTAATTTTAAAGGCATCATATCGCCTCGAGATTCATGTTGTTGCGTATGAAGAATATTTGTACTGAAATTTGTTGATTGTGATTGTTGTTGTTGTGGTGGTTGTTGCTGTTGCTGTTGTTGTTGTTGTTGTGTTGATGGCATTGAAAAATAGTTCATTAGTGTTTTCCATTGATTGAATGAATTTTGATGATGAAGATTTTCACCTTGTATTTGTTGTGAACTGTAATTACTATGATAATCAATTGTAGCTTTAGGTTGATTTGGTTTACGTAACAGATCATTAATGACAGATTGAAATGCAACTTGTGGTTCGACAAGTGCCGGTGGTTTATTTAATGAGAGTAATGTCATTGCTGCTTCATTCCATTTATGTTGCTGATCATCGTCTTGTTGTGATTGATTGTAATTTCTTTTTAACGTTGGCGCTGTTGGTTTAGATTCATTTGGTGTTGCTATTGTTAATAAACGTGATGATCCCGAAGATTCCTGTTGTTTACTTTTAAACATTTGATTGGCAAGAATTTGTAATAGAGATTCATTTGGTGGTGACGGTGATGGTGTTAATGGTGATGGACTTTTACTTGGTATTGCTGATAGTAAATTGCCTGTTTTTATTTCTGTTCGACTTAAATCAATTGCACTATCGTTTGTATTGCTAATTCGTTGATTATACAATGCTGGACGTTGACTATGAGAATGAGATTCATCGTCTTCATGTGTTTCACTTGACGAACAATCTTTAGATGTAGTCATATGTGATGAATGTTCATCGTCATCATCATCGTCGTCGTCGTCATCATCATGATTTTGACCAAGAATTGTTGATGCAGATGTAGCTGGTTTAAGACATATATTGCCAAGACGTTGTTCTTCTTCAAATAAATTTTCCATATCAGTATCTTTCATATTTAATCGTGAGAGCATTAAATTAACTTTAGCTTTTAATGCTTCGTTTTCATTTGTTAATTCAACAACTTTCGTTTCTAAATGATCAGAAATTTAATTAAAAGATGATAAATAAAAAGCTAAATATAATAATCAAATATTCATACCAAGAACAATATCATTTAAACGGCGTTTTTCTCTTGAACGCTTTGCTGCTAAATTATTCTTTCGTCGTCGTTCCCAATAATGATCATCTTTCATATCATTCGGAATAAAATCACGACGTTTTCGTGCTGGTATAACATTTTTACGTGTTAATAGTTGTGTTAAAAACTCTTTGTCGATACATTGTGTTCCAGCTGTTGTTACAACTTTTACCATATCTCGATCGTTTATTGAATTTGAATAAGAAGAATCTGTTGCAGATATTAATGGAACTTGCGTTGGAGGTTCATACGGCAATGGCATTGATTTTCTTGATAGAAAACAAAATAAATAAACGATAAATTTCCTAATAATTAACATACTTGACACGTTTTATTTTTGAATCCGGAGAAGATGATGCAGATAATTGTTGCTGTGTAAGTGCATAGAGCATATTCAATTGAGATTGTAAATTATTAGGAAATAAATGAGGAGATTCTACGAATGGATTGGTTGATGAATGATGAAAATCTTGCGATTGCATTTTCTATTATGATTATAAAATAAATGGTTTTATTTTATTTTGTTTTCAAGAAGAAATAAGGAAACGAACTTGAATGCTTGTTGTCATTGTTTTTGTCGAATAATAATAGTTGGGTGTCTATTCGCGTTGAACTCAAACACGAAACTGACCTTTCTTTTTCTTTAAATAGATTCTCTTTTTTTCTCTCTTGTTGCCCTAATTCATTCACTCTCTTTTATATTTTTTAGGTCAAAATAATACGATGTACACATATAGAGCTGTACATGTCTGCGGTCAACATGTATTAGGTCAATGTGACCCGTTTCTTCTTGACCGTTACATGGACTTATCCTCTTTCTTATGAACATCTGCATACACAATAGCTTCAACGAACATTGACCTTATGTATATAGAGTATTGTTCTCTTTCTTGCTTTACGTGTTCATGATCAAATTGAAGAAGAAGAAGAAGAAGAAGAAGAAGAAGAAAGAAAGAAGAATTATCGAACGGATGACCGACAGCATGAGTTCATGAGTTGATGGCCATCGTTTTTTTTTTTATAGTGAAGCGAGAAGAAATGAGGTCAAGCTAACTTTTCTATTGAATTTTTTTCTTTTTTTTTTTTGAGAGCGTAAAAGGTTATGGGGCATTTCTTTCACCGTTATGACCGATATTATTATTTGCTCAAGTGTAGTGTACTTTGTCTATATCTACATAAGGAGGTCGAACTGACCGGCATAATTCTTTTCTCATTACATTCTATGTATGTGTCGGTCACACAATACTTATCCTTTATGTACATACTATGTATTTGTTCACTTGACTGATGATAATAGTTGTCTAGATATTTTATCCTTCTTCTACTTCGTACAGTTATATATGCATATATATGTAAACAAATAGATGAGAACATTGCTAATTATTTTGTTTTAGTTGTAGTGATAAATTTTATTTAGTTGTAAAATACAATTCCTAAAGAGTTAAAATTGATAAAAGGCTGCCATTTACATCACAGTATACGTAAACGTATATTTTATCTTGCCATTTTTGTTGCGAGGCTGAAAGCTGAATTATTTATTAGTGTATGCATTTGTTGTTGCATATACCATGGGTGCTAGAATTTTTTGTCTTGTATACAACAGACGACAAGCTCGACGAAGAATCATTCGATGATAATTACAATCATAGAAAAGAAGAAAAACATACGGAGCCAAAAAAGCAAGATTGCGATGTAAACACATAGCTACATATAAAAAGAGTCAGAAAAACTACTGGATGACGCAAAATAAGGACGACCATATACAGCAACAAAGAAGAATGTCTGATGATAGCATTGATGGAAATTCACTTTTAATACTTCTTCGAGATGCTATTGTACAACATTCACCACTTAAATATATTAAAGCCATTCTTAGGTATTTTATTTTATTTTGTTTTCCGTCTAAAAATACATTCTATCATGTTTTTTTCTTCAGTTATAAACAAATAAATATCAATGGGCCTGTTCGTCGTGGTCTTAGACCATTACACTATGCTGTGTTCGAGAATGATCTCGAATGTGTTCGTCTACTCATTGAAGATCATGGTGTAGATGTAAATGTTTTAGATGATGCTGGCTATTCACCTTTACATTTAGCAGCAAAATATGGCTTTATTGATATTATGCATATATTAATTGATCATGGTTCTCTTATAAATTTTCATGTAGCAATAAATGATTCTCAAGCATGTTCAATGGTTGTTCCTCACTATGATGTAATTGTGGAGCCATTGAGTCTTTGTTTAGAAAATAATCATATTGACTGTGCTCGTTTACTCATTTATTCTGGTGCTTATGTTAATCAACACTATTTTCTTGGTTATGAAATAAATTTATTACCGTACGAAAATCTTTCTGCATTAGAATTAATTCTTAAACATGGTGCGAATTCAAATGCCCTTTCTCGCAGTGGTATAACACCCTTAATTAAGGCTTGTCGAGAGGGCAATATAGGTGCTGTCACATTATTATGTCGCTATGGGGCTAATGTTAATTATGTAACAAGAAAATTCCGACAGAGAAATGCTCTTATTCTAACTGTTGAGTCAAAACGTTGTGATATCATTGAAATATTATTAATTCATGGAGGTTTTATTAATAAACATCCTGATTTATGTAATTCCCCTTTGGAATTAGCTATTCGAAAAGATCATCTTGATACAGTCAAATTATTGGTTGGTATGTGAATTTATTAGAAATTGTAAAAAGAAATGCTAATGAATTCATTTTTTAGCTTTTGGTGCAAATACAAATGAAGAAACCAACGAAGATGTTGAATGTGTAACACCATTAATTCTTGCTTGTCAATTATCAAATTTAAAAAGTCAATATTCAATTATTAAATGTCTTCTAGAAAATGATGCAGACCCCAACCAATCTGTTTCTTTTAATCCTCAACATCAACATCAACATATTCCATATCGAACACCTTTAGTAGCTTACATTAAACATGCTTATGATCGACGATTAGATATGCGTATTGTACGTCTATTGATTGGCTACGGAGCTCGAGTTTCATTTTCAAGAGGACGAGGTTGTATTCGTCTATTTGTTTTATTTGAAAAATATTTTGGTTTCTTATTCTTTCAGATAGTGTTCTCCGATTTTTACGCCGTTTCCAATCAAATACAAATTTAATTGAATTACTTTGTGATGCAGCTTATGTATTTCATCCAAGTTATATTGCTGAATGTACGGAACTTGACGAAAAAACAAAACTAAAGATATATCAATGTGCCACAACGCCATGTACATTGAAAAATATTTTACGTAAACAAATTCGAACACGTTTATTTAATTCACCATTGAAGATACGTATGCATCGAGCTGTGAACAAATTGGATTTACCGCTTTTTCTTCAACGATACTTACTCTTCAATGATATTTAATCAGTTAAGATTTGATCATTTTTTTTTGTACATAATAATATCAAAAATGAGTAATAAAAACAATCGGTGCTGATGCGACCTTTGCAACGTTAACATAGAAACATGAATCTTTTATTTACTTATATTATATTATAGCTTTTGCTATTTTGTTTTATATGGATAAAATCTAAGTAATGATTTTAGTTTCATTTCGATGGTTCAGACACATATTTTACTCAATAGTATTGTATTTTTTGCTCATTTGTTGAGAATGCTCATGCCACTAGTATTAACCAAATCAGCTGTTGTCTCTCTGTGCACGAGTGATGCTGTATGCGAAAGATAGAGTAATACAGGATCAAACATAAGAAAACAAAATCAACAGATAAAATAGTTGCAGTATCGCCGGATATCATGTACTGGAATTTTATTAAAGTAGACGTTTTCATCATTTATATTTCTAATTTAATTGAACATATCGAAAACCTTGACAAAATGATTCATTGAAAAGTTGCAATGAATGGTTTGTTTCGAAGAAAAAAAGTCGACACAGAACGTTAAATTCATTTTTGAAATGGTAACACATACACTACTTTTCATTTGTAATCATATTTGCTAATCATATATACTTTAATGATTTTCTATCTAGTATACTTGCATCAACATTTTCTGAATACTGCATTGGGTATACCCATAGAAGTATGTTTCGCTGAAGCAGTGCTTGTATGAGTACCCGCACCTGTAATTTTACTGAGGAAAGCTCTACAGGGTACCCTAGATTTATCGCGTTTTGTGTGGCGTCTGTTCATTCACCGTTTTCTTTTGCGTGAACAGCTCCTTGTAAACAACTCGGTGAACCATCAGAAAATAAACTTTTTTCCAGCAGTGTTCAGACTTCCAAAAAAGGAAATTTTGGAAGTTTTGGAAATTTCAAGTACTTGTGTTCTAAATTGTTTGGTACTTCCCAAAATTATACAATTTCCGAAATTTCTGAAATTTCNCCTGCTAGAGTTTTCAGGATTGGAAACATTAAATTAAATAGTATCGAAAAAAATTTAATAGATTGTTTTGAGACAAAAAAAAATGAAAAAATTCGAAGATTAGGTTCGACCATCAACGTACTGCAATTTTGGTAACAGGGTACCTAAGCATACTGTGCAATAGTATCCAGTTGAGTACTTGATCAGTACCTTCAAGTACTCATTTACTAGTTGTTTTCAGCAGGGTACCTACCTGAGTACCTAAAAGGTACCTAAAAGTACTTTTAAGTACTTCAGTACCATAAAGTTCCTAAGACATACTAGTAGCAGGGTACTTTTTCGGGTACCCTTTGTTCAGTACATGCCCTAGGGGAAGAATTAACTTATTTGAGATGTGCCCAATGAAAGGCAAAGAATGTCTGGAAGAAAAATCCTTCTTTTTCTTCCTTATTTTCATTCGAAAAAGAACTGATTTTCAATTAAAATGAAATGAAGGTGATGGTGGAAAAAGATGGTCAATTGTATCTTTCTTGCAAAGGTGCTGATAGAAAGGTTCTAATCAAGTGAATTCGATTGAATGAAACAAACTGATGAACATCTCCATGTTTTGATCGAAATTTCTTTTCTTCAATTGAAGAAAAACATTTCATTTGAGAACTTTGCCAATGATAGTGATCGAGCACTTTGTTTAGCTTCGAAGAAGTGACAATCAAATGAATATCAACAATCGAATGAGAAACTCCATCACGCAAACTCAAGACTTCTTTTTCTTTCTCAGCAATGATCATTACACAAAGATTCTTTTCTCAATGAAAAAAATGGATTTTAATGGAAGATCGAGAAGAAAAAATAGGCAAAAGATCTTTTCCTCTTGGGTGCAATTTAGAGTCCTGCAGGTCAACCTTGTCCTACCCTACCCTACCCTGCCCTGCACGGCAGGATAGAGCTACGGTACAAAACTTGTAGGGCAGGACAGGGTTAGGGTATAAAGCTCGTAGGGCAGGGTATTGTAAGGTACAAAAAAAATATTTAGGATATAAGTAGGGTGTAGCTCATACAAATAAAAATTTTATAGAGTAGAACTTAATATATATTTCTGACATCTTTTTGATCAAAAACAGTGTAAAGAGTGATATCATAATCTAAATCGAATGGGTAGAATAACAACGAACGGAAAACAATGGCCTATTCTTTAGTACTATTTTTACATAAGCTGACGAGTTCAGTCACTTTTGATTATTTGTCTAGTAAATGTGCATGTAAATGTAATAAAAAATATCTTCGAAATCATCTCGAAATGAACGTATTGTTAATACGAACGGGCGAGTTTTGGAAGAGAGAAGGCAAAATTTAAGTCGTAATGTTGTAAATGACATTTTACTTTTAAGAAACTTTCGAAATATTTATTAGTGCGGTGCGAAGCACAGCATTTATGTAGTCCTGCGCGTGTTTTCTTTCTTTGTTCCTTTTTTTTAAACTCGACGTCCAGATCATATATTGCTAACTTGTGACGCGATAATCTAGACAACCGAACATCAGAAAAAACTGGTTAAAACGTGAAGTGAAAGAATCGAGATAACCCAGGTTGATCATAACGGACTCGTTTAGGGTCTGTTTATCGACGGTAAACTATGTCAAAACGGTATATTTACGGCAGGAAATAGGCCGTATTTGCCTGTAATACCTGGTGCAGTAATACGGCACCGTAAACGGGACTGCATTTTCATGGTTTACGGCTGTTTGTGCTCCGTACTCTCATGATAATACGGTCCGTATTACTGCGCCAGATATTACGGCAAACTTTCGCCCGTAAAATAGTCGTAAAGTAACTGCCAACGACCGTATACGGACCGTACTGTTCGACCTGGGAATAGATGTACCATTTTTTTCAAAAATCTTTATAGCTACTTCCGTTGACTCGCAAATTGATTCCCGAAAAGAGGATTTTGATCAAATTTTATTTTGAGATAATTAAAACGGAAATCAAAACGCTAAGAGTTAGGCACTTTTATATCAACATTTATAAATGGATCCTATTCTAACAAATCAAACATATAAATAATAAAGTAG